ATTTTCAATTAACTTAGAAATGTAAGAACACTAAATAAGATCTTGTAATTCCGATTTTCCTTGGAACAAAAAACACATTTAGCTGGATCTTGCAGGTTATATTTCCCTTGGAAAAGATTTCCACTTAAGTAGTTCAATTTGGAAAAATATATGAAAACGTGAAAACTGCCTTTTAAAAGTAATTCTTCTCCAAAACAAATTATCCAAATTTTTGAGACTTTTGAAGAAGACATATATATATGAATTAAATATGAGGATTACCTCCCGTTTTCTTTGAAAGTTCTGAAGACAAGGAAAACATCCACTCAAAAATTTCTACACTGAAAAATAATGTTATTCCTGTTATAACTGCATTTAATTCTACATAACTAGGGTAATTTGGCCAAGGTTAAGAACATACCTCAGTGGTCTTGTTGTAGTCTTCTAACCTTGAATATCGGAAGTTGTGGGTAACAAGAGGCATTGATTTTAACAATTCCATTCTGACTAGAGTAGACATGAATGCATATTTTTATTTCCTGCATTGCAATTTGCAAACAGAAGTCCTACCATAATGTTTGTTCCTGCCAGATGGGTGAATTCAAGGTGACCAATTTCTTTACTCATATCTAACCTTATGGTTATATCTTTTTATTCATTAGTCAAACAATCACGAAAACACATTTTGATGATCAGAACTCATGTATTATCTACATGTATGAAATTATTTCTGGGATTTTATTACCATAAACTACTTAAGGAAGTTCACTACTCAGTTTCAAAATAACAAGCTTTTCATAACACTAGTATATATTGATAGGGGATTAATAAAGGAACCAAAAGAGCGAAAAAAAAATATAGGTCCGTGTGCTTGTTTTTGAGATATTAGCCATTGAAATTTTGGCGGGAAAATGTTCTCTCTTGATTTTTCATAGCTTTATCATTGACAAGTTTAAGTTCTCAAAAACTATTAAAAAATAACAAAGATTTTATAAGACTTTTACAGATGGCTTATAATTATACATGTACAAGATTTATAAAAAGAAAAATGGAGGTTAGTGGGCAAAATTTTTTAAGGCATTCAAATGGATAAAACCAGAGGATTCTGAAAATCTGACAAAAATTCCAAAACATGACAAGCGAACATCCTTAAACCTTTAACTAAAGTCTGAAGTCCATAGATACAGAGATTTGGTTTGACAGTTTGCCTGCACCTACAGAAATACAAACAATATAAACAAACAATATAACACATTCTATTTTTTAAGGCGATATTGTTTCTAGAGCCTGTTAATTATGATATGATCATTGTAAACTAATTGATCCTTTCAATAAACTTTTCCATAAAGGTTATCAATTAAACATTTTAAATATTGTCTTCATCGAACTAACACCGATTTTCTTATTACCGGTAATAAATTCAGACATGGCTTAATATGTATTGCTATACACATGATTCATGATCACTTATAGTCTTACATCCTGGCAATACTTATATAACAAGGTTGTGCATCTCAGACTGTTTACAACATCTTTACACTAAATCTGTTGGATTTGTACTGTCAGAATAAAAGTTTTGTCTTGGAAATATGATTTATCTTTTAGTTGTAATTGGCTTTGAGTTAGCATTCAGTTACTGCGAGTACTCTTAGATCAGACAGTACCTGGAGTCTGATGTCTTCTTATCAGTTTCATTTAAGCTTCTTGCCTAGCTGATGAGTCAAACCTTTTCAAACTATTTTTTAAATAGACATAAGAAGATGTGGTATGAGTGCCAATGAGACAACTCTCCATCCAAGTCAAAATTTATAAAAGCAAACCATTATAGGTCACAGTACGGTCTTCAACACGGAGCCTTGGCCCAAGTATGTTCTTATGTTGTGCTGTTACACCGGTACCACTGTTATTGGTAAGGGGAGTGTTGAGCTCTTCAAAAGCTCGCAAACATGTTTAACCCATCCACATTCTGTACATTGTCTGTCTTAAGACAGGAGCCTGTGAATTAGTGGTTATTGTTGGTTGCTGTCTGTCATAGATATTTTTTTTTATTGTTGAATTATAAAACTGGCCTTTAGATTCCTTGTTTGAATTGCATTAAATTTTGTCAAATGGGATTTTTTTTTCAGTCATACTTTATGTTAGGGAATTCACACATTGTTTAAGGTGGTACCCAACACCTTGACTAATATTAATTTGGCTCGTTTAATTTTCATAAAATTTTGACAAAATGTTTACTTTGACCCTTTGACAAAAATATAAAAATTTCAAAAAATTTGAACCAACCACTTTATCAGAAAAATTTCATTGGTTATATAGCAGTTTGACAAACACTAATTTTGGTCATTGAGAAGCTTAATATTTCCTTAACAATACAACGGAATTAAAACGTTAAGCTGATTTTTACAGAGTTATCTCCCTGTAGTGTTAGGTACCACCTTAATGGCTGTATGTTGACCAAAAAATAGCTTAAATCTACATCGTTTGGTCCCTGATGGAAAATTGTCACATGTCCATATTCTTTCTAAACCAAAATTTTAACCACACATGGGACAGAAAGAGTGAACCAGAAAATACACAGACCTGAAAATGCCCTTTTACAGTGAGTTTTACCCTCATAGAAAAATTGTATATAACATTGAAAAGAAAAGATTTACTACAATAGTTTAGTCTGGATAGGTAGTTAACAGGAAATCAAATTAGCAGATTCACAATTTTTGTCATTGAAAACTGATATACAAATCTGAATTAAAACAATCTAATGCACATGCACCTGTCAATGCTACTTAATCCAGGAATGTATGCATCCATCATCTCCGTAAACTGGTCCACATCAATATTCTCCTCAGCATTCTGGTCATCTCCTAAATCTTCCAAGATACTGATGACATAACTGAATACTATCTCATCAACAGCACTAAATGTAAAACAAAATAACCATGTAGTGCAAACGTGGTGCAAAGGCAAACAGGAGGCTCAAGAGCCTGAATCGCTCACCTGTAATTTTTTGCTTAAATCTTTCATCAAAGATTATCTTTGCTTTTTAATACATATTAATGAGTGGCTTAAAAATTCCACTGAAATGTTCTTTGTATCTGTCATATTTTCTTCAAAAGCAAAGAAATACATTTTACCCCTATTTCCATTTAAGCCATAGTGGCTATGTTTCTTGACGTACAAGAAAATAGAATACAAAATGTATACTAGATACTCTGAAACTCATTCAGCCCAAGTTTGGCTGAAACTGATTCAGCAGTTTCAAAGGAGAGGATTTTTTAAAGTAAGCAAACTATATGAACAAATTGTGAAAAATTGTTTTTAAAGGGTGATAACTCCTTAAGGACACATTTGACAATTTTGGTAATATTAACTTATTTGTAGATCTTACTTTGCTGAACATTTTTGCTGTTCACAGTTTATCTTTATCATTAATAATATTCAAGATAATAACCAAAAACTTCAAAATTCCTTAAAATTACCAATTTAGTGGCAGCAACCAAACAATGGACTGTTAGATTCATCTGAAAATTTCATGGCTGATAGAACTTGGCCTAATGAACATTTTAACCTCTCATCAGATTTGCTCTAATTGCTTAAGTGTTTGAGCTAGTGCCATTTTTTTTATTTTAGTTTTTGGTCTAAAAGAATTTTTTTTAAAGCACTATGAAATAATTGTGTTCTCATGCCTTAATGTGCTATTAATTATCTCCCCTGATTAATACCTGTCAATGCTACTTAATCTAGGAATGTATGCATCCATCATCTCCGTAAACTGGTCCACATCAATATTCTCCTCAGCATTCTGGTCATCTCCTAAGTCCTCCAAGATACTGATGACATAACTCAATACTATCTCATCAACAGCACTAAATGTAAAACAAAATAACCATGTGGTGCAAAGGCAAACAAGAGGCTCTCAAGAGCCTGAATCGTTCACCTGTAATTTTTTGCTTAAATCTTTTATCAAAGATTATTTTTGCTTTTTAATTTATTTTACAAGTGTGGACACAGATCAGTGTGGATAGTATGTATGAATGTTTGACAGTGTTTCATGTTGACATAGAGTTCTATATATATTAAACTGTGTTGCACAATGACAGCTTTACTGAGCCAAACACTTAACATTAGCAGTATTGTTTATTTAATACTTTGTTTTAATGTTCAAGACTGTCATGGAGACACTTATTGCATTGATTACCAAATGATTATGATAAAATATGTTCTACACCTTTGATTTTGGATACATTTGTAGCTAGGAGAGGAACACAAAGTTCATTTCTTCATGATGTGATTTTTTATATGGGAGATGGTATTGGAGAACATGCATGCATGTACTATGTGTATGGTTATATTTATGTTTCTTTTTGGTGGATCTTCCCAGTACCATCAGTAAAATATTTCGTTTAAATGTCAAAATTGTTTCTCAGATTAGAAGATATTTAATTGTCCGAATATGTTCTATTTATCTAAAAAGTTATAGAATTTAAAATGAAAAAGGTATTGCAAAAATATTCTTGTTCTAAGATATTTTTGTTATATGAATATAAATATTAGTGAAGCCAGTACAGTATTAAGCTAGTTTTGTTGTGGTATGAAAGTGCTGTTATTAACATTTACTGTTAATTCACACAATTTGACAAATTGACAAATGAATGATAGATGTTGAACAATGAAATATAATTTTAGAAATCAATTAAGGCAGATAGGTTCTTTTTTTTACAATACTGAATGACATTTACATCTACTCAGGACTGTGTTATCAGTAGGCAGTGCAGGTGCAGAAGCTTAAAAAAGTGTAACAAAATCACCTAGCATCATATTCACTTCATGTTCATGATATTGCTAGTAGCACGAGCAGTATTGTTTGGTAATTTGTGTGTTTTTCTAATTTAGCTTCTGGACACAACATCTTTGGTTCAAACGTAAATAAAATGCTTTACTATGTTTCTCCCCATTACTACTTACATGGAATGGATACTTCTACAATTCCTTGTACAGATTAGAGTTGTTTGTCCAATCTTTATTTCACAAAGAATGAATTGCATAACAATGAACTGAGCTCAAAGCAAAGCACTTAAATAATAAACTTAGACAAAGAGCTCAATCCAGTGATATACTTTGTACTACAGGTCCTTCATGAATATCCACTTCTCACAAAAATGCCATACGACATGGATGGATCTGAAGTCCTGAAAAAAAAAAATTAAATTTCATATCATATTTTCAGTATACATGTACGGTATGATTGGGAAACACCGGTTAAAACTTTCACAAAGTTGTGGTAAAATGATTCGGTACCTAAATTGCTTCATGCACAAATTGATATAGGCTGAGTACCACCCTCTGTTTAATATAAGATCATACCTCCACCTAATCATAGTAAACTGAAAAACAAACATTCAAAACTATAAAATGTTATTAGACTGTCACTTATCACTTATCAGTGTCTATAGCTACATGTATTTACCATCAAAACTGAATCAATAATATAAGACTCAGATTGATGTCACTCTCTAATGTCCAAATGAAATAAGATTCCTAATCTACCACCAATTAAATACCCCTCTAATCATGCTAATGGACAGCTATTTGATGTTTTCAAATCAATGCCCCAAAATATTGGCTTCTCTAATTGACATCCCTTTTACAGACTAGCCGCAATGAAATCACAGTTTTCTTAAATGGTAGGTGGAACCTAAAACTCAAAAAATTTTAAATGTTATATTTTAAATCTTGCAAATACATGTAATTACATATTTTTATTAGTACAATTCTTTTCAATAATTCGCTCTTTTTAGCTCACCTGGCCCAAAGGACCCCTTTATAGTCAATTTTTAACAATTTTTACAAAATATTTTCCTCTGTAACTACTGGGCCAAGTTCATTATAGATAGAGATAATTTCAAGCAGCAAGAATGTTCAGTAGAGTAAGATCTACAAACACATCACCATCATCAAAACACAATTTTGTCATGAATCCATCTGCGTCCTTTGTTTAATATGCTCATAGACCAAGGTGAGCGACACAGGCTCTTTAGAGCCTCTAGTTTTTTAATTTTGTCTATTGTTCCACTGTATTTTAACCTCTAGATGTCTTTCAATTACATTCAGTTTGGATTTGGGTTGATGTCGGATTGTTGTACATGTAAAATTGACGTGGGATTTATTCATATTAATAAAATATTCGCCAAAGCTCTCAATTATAGGCAACCACAAGCTTAAGGCCTTCAAAAATGAGAAAACCCTATACTGTATAGTCGGCTTTAACAGAGCCCAACATGTTTATATTGTGATACAGTTTATATTGATAAGATTTATACAAAAACCTTTCAAGACATCATAATTATTTGCATTTGTTCTGTCGATTGGTAGTGGTATAAGGCAATAATGAGATCAAATATACATAATATGTATATAGTTCGGCTCAACAGTTTTATGGTAAATCAGTTGTAGTAGGTTGTTTGAAGTTATCAGCATATGTAACTTTGTACATCTTTTTCAGGTCTGCAATCAATATAAAAATCAGAATATTTGGTATGATTACCAATGAGATAACTATCCACTGAAATTCAAATGACAAAGCAAATACAGCGTTCAAAAGAGGAAAACCCTTGTTGGCTGTCAAATGCAACAGTCCCTACTGGAAAAGTATACAAAAATTCAAATGAGAAAAGTAATGGCCGGATTTATAATTAATTTAAACAACAGATTGGGATCCCCCCCCCCCCCCCAAATGAGGAATATCCCTTTTTTTGCTGTTCTAAAAAAGGGAAAAAAGAAAATGTAGCCTTTTTAACTAATAAAAGGTGTAGAGGTCGGGGGATTCATTATATTCGAAACAACTTTTCTAAAGGATGGATCAACTTATTTTCAATATTGACAATAAATAATTCAGATTGAAGTCTGGGAACAGTATATCTGTATTATATAGATTCCAAACCCGACATCAAATGTTGATAATTTCCTATGATAGGATAGGATATCAAATTAAAAGACAGTCAGTAAATTACAATGCAGAGACAAATTAATTGTCACAAAGGTGATACAATCAAATGGGTCTTTCCTGCATACATCATGTACATGTCATGTGTAAAATGGGATATACCATTTTTAGGGCTGTACTGTCCTTCATATTTAGGCCAATTGCACACAGCAAAATATAAAGAACATGTTTACTTTATATAATGTTTCTTTATTAAAGGAAGTTTATCAGTAAATCAAACTTAGTAACATACCTTAATTGTACATGTACATGTATGTTACTTAATAACTTGACTCTGTATGTAAACAACCCCTACAATATATGGTCAGATCATGTTTACTTAAGTCATATGTTTTCGTACTACATGTACTATGCATGCTTTTTCAATGGAAATCGTGACGTCATAATGCATTCTTAATAGAACAAAAACTCACGAGACGAGGATAATGTATACAAAATCCTCTATAGCGATTTTTATAAAGCCTTTATAGGTGTAAGACGTAGAATTCACGAAATTTATACAGATTTCGTTGATTTTATCAGTTGAATGGACAGAAATGAGATTAAATATACATACATGTACACAAAGGTCTATTAAACAGTTGAAGTGTAAACAGTAATTCAGTTTTATTTGTTGGTTGATACAGACATACAATACATTATTGTATTAACCTCGTGTTACAAATTTACAGTTTATGAATGTAATAATATTTCTATATAACTTATAGATAATACTGAAGAATTTTCTGGTATCTTTATAAATTTCGCATTTGATCTTTTTATTATTGAAAACAGCATAAAAAATCATCCCTTTATCCTTGGTTGCTATAATAAGACGCTTTACCTGTACAGTTGTTGCTAGGGTGCTCTTTGAGGTCTGCTTTCGTAGTATGAATACTGGGTAGCTATACAGTTTAAGTTGTTACTGATCTTGCAAGGGCTGCAAAGCCAGTCAAGGTCGTTAAAAACTTCCATCGTCATTAAAGTTGTCATTTGTACTGAAGAAGTTGAAGGAAGAAGATCAGGAAAGCAGGAGAGTGAAGAGTTAAAAGCAGGATAAGTTAGTTTCATACCACTTCAAATAATTTCCATACATTTGTTTTAATAGGTTCTATACATTAAGGTTTCAGCCCAGTTTCATACATTTAGGTTTCTGCCTATTTCAAAACATTTGGTTTGAACGAATATCAGACTGAAAGGGTTTTGAACAGTTTTGATATACCAGGATCGGGTTTAGTTAATAGGTGTTGAAATTCACTTTAAATAGTATTTAATTGACTTTAGAAATTTTGCATTGCTCTTCAAATCCCAGGAAACTGGTACACATCATAAACTCGAGGATAAAGATATTAAAACGCCCTGTTCGGTTTCACGTTACACTCATCTCGTGGGTTTATGTATTATTAAGAATGGAGTGATGTGATATTTTCCACTGAAAAAGCATGCCGCTGCATAGCATAGCATGTAGTACGAATTCATGTGTCAGACAAGAGACAGATTAAGGCCTTTCCCCTCCCCCTTTTCCCGTTCATAAATGTAACATATACATATATCCTATATAAAAAGAGGGCGAACGGACTATCAGGGCGAACAAACCTAGGGCGAGCATGTAATCATGGAGAACGGACCTAGGGTGAGCATGTTGCGAACAGACCCGATTCCCCCCTTTTTTTCTGGGACAATTTTTGTGTAATATGCTTTACATCTTCTTCAGTTCTGACTAGACTAGCAGGGTCGGATTCAGCTATTTTTAAAAAGAGGAACTTTACCCAGGATAAAGGGTCATGCAGTTCCAACTAAATATCCCCATTCAAATGCATTGTCATTGATCGTCACGTCAATAAAAAAGGGGGCTTTCAACCTCCGGAATCCCCTGCCCCCCTGGATCCGCCACTGACTAGAGTCTTAATGTGTACAAACCTGACGTCAAATTATGTACTATAGAAGAAACAAAAAATATCACATTACATCCAATTGATGATTAATCCCCAAATTCAATTATATTACGATGTCAATGGAAGAAGTTCCCACGTAAATGTCATGTGTTAAACGGGATACACTAAAAAAGAATTTTAGGTGTATGTTAGCATCCGCATTCCAATCAATTTACACAGTTCAATTAAATATATATGTTAACTATATCTATATTGGACTTGAATTTAGATACTTTATCAGAGAAATGATTTGTTTCTCGCAGACAACACTAAATAATATACATTAACTCGACATTGAATCTGAACACACCTAAAACAAAATGGTATATGCAATCGACCAAACAGATTTTCCTAATATTGATAAAGGTGAAATACGTAGAATAAGAATTGTGCACACTGAAATAAGATCAGAGATAAAGCCCTATGTAAAGTGAAAACCAAATAAAAAACATATATAAAATCATTGTTTTTTAAATTTTCTTGCATAATAACCTTGAAGTTGAAACTAAAAACTATTAAGTGTATCCTGTCAACCCCTGAAAAAAATAATACTATCTCCTTGACTACTTCCGCGCGCCACGGACTTGGAAAATGATATATTGTGATAGTGTTTGTTAAATAAGTGGCTTAAAAATTCCATTGAAATGTTCTTTGTATCTGTCATATTTTCTTCAAAAGCAAAGAAATACATTTTACCCCTATGTTCCATTTAAGCCATAGTGGCTATGTTTCTTGACGTACAAGAAAATAAAATACAAAATTTATACTAGATACTCTGAAACTCATTCAGCCCAAGTTTGGCTGAAACTGATTCAGCAGTTTCAAAGGAGAAGATTTTTTAAAGTAAGCAAACTAGATGAACAAATTGTGAAAAATTGTTTTTAAAGGGCGATAACTCCTTAAGGACACATTTGACAATTTTGGTAATATTAACTTATTTGTAGATCTTACTTTGCTGAACATTTTTGATGTTCACAGGTTATCTTTATCATTTATAATATTCAAGATAATAACCAAAAACTGCAAAATTCCTTAAAATTACCAATTTAGTGGCAGCAACCAAACAATGGACTGTTAGATTCATCTGAAAATTTCATGGCTGGTAGAACTTGGCCTAATGAACATTTTAACCTCTCATCAGATTTGCTCTAATTGCTTGAGTGTTTGAGCTAGTTCCATTTTTTTTATTTTAGTTTTTGGTCTAAAAGAATTTTTTTTAATGCACTATGAAATAATTGTGTTCTCTTGCCTTAATGTGCTATTAATTATCTCCCCTGATTAATACCTGTCAATGCTACTTAATCCAGGAATGTATGCATCCATCATCTCCGTAAACTGGTCCACATCAATATTCTCCTCAGCATTCTGGTCATCTCCTAAATCTTCCAAGATACTGATGACATAACTCAACATTATCTCATCAAATGGCACTGAAAAAAAAAACCCAAAAATTAAAGTCATCTCATAAGTCAAAGAGGCAAAAATACTTCCAGAGTTTACTAGACCATTTAAGGGTAATACATACTATAAAGAGTTAACTGACATTTTCAACCATGCGTATGTACTTGTTCATGTAGATCCTGTCCTGCTGATCATTTTTGTTATGAAATTTTCTACCTATCTATTATAGTATTCAAAATGATAAGCAAAATGCAGAGACAGCAAACCAGATTTTCCTGCAGAGGTCGAACCCTGTCAGATTTGTTTTATTGTCCCATACAAGAATATATATGGTTTAGGGGTGGGGATCTCAACCGTTTACAAGTTTTCAAAAAGAAGGGGTTGGGATTTACCCCCGTGTACTTCATCTATATTTCATTTGATTTGATATATTGTCCCATACAAGAATATATATGGTTTCTGGGTGGGAATCTTGACCGTTTACAAGCTATCAAAAAGAAGGGGGTGGGGGTTACCCCAATGGACTTCCCCTATATTACATTTGATTTGTTTTATTGTCCCATACAAGAATATATATGGTTTAGGGTTGAGGGATCTTAACCGTTTACAAGTTCTTAAACAGGAAAAAGGTGGGGGTGACCCCAGGGGACTCGACTTTTATTTCATTTGACTTGTTTTATTGTAATATACAAGAAGAAAAATGGTTTAAGGGTGGGGATCTTGACTGTTTACAAATTTAAAAAAAGGGGGGTTGGGGTTACCCCAGGGGACATCCCCTAAATTTCATTTTATTTGTTTAATTGTCCCAAAAAAGATTTTATATGGTTAAGGGGTGGGGACCTCAAATGTTTACAAGTTTTCAAAAAGAAGGGGGTGAGGTTTACCCTCGTGGACTTCCCCTAAATTTTATTTGATTTGTTTTATTGTCAAATTCCATGAATAAATATGGTTTAGGGGTGGGGATCTCAACTGTTTACAATTTCTCAAACAGAAAGGGGTGGGGGGTTACCACAATGGACTTCCCCTATATTTCATTTGATTTCATTTATTGTCTCATACAAAAATATATATGGTTTAGTGGTGGGGATCTCGACTGTTTTCAAGTTCTCAAACAGACACGCTGGGGGTGACCCCAGGGGACTCACCTTTTATTTCATTTGATTTGTAACATACAAGAATATATATGGTTTCAGGGTGGGGAGCTTGCACATTTACAAGTTTTCAAAAAAAAGGAGGGTAGCTGTGAATCTGAGGACTACCCCAATATTTCATTTGATTTGTTTTATTGTTCCATACAAGAATATATATGGTTTAGGAGTAGGGATCTCAACCGTTTACAAGATAAAAGCACATTATCAAATTGAAGGGGGGTAGGGGTAAGAATATATATGATTAACGGACACTTAATTATCTACAAAATGTCTAATAATGAACAGTAAATTCCAAACCTCATTTATATAGTAATACAGTAAGTTTCAAACTGTATATATACAGTCCTACAGATCTTATCAGAAAACAGAAAATTTTCAAATAAATCTGTCACTTCAATGATTATCATATGCTAGAATATTTCCAAGATCTAATTAATAATGAAAATAAATCATTATCATATGCTGAAATATTTATAATATCTAATTGAACAGAAGTTTTCTGAACTATGGTTGTTTAACATAGTACTCTAACATAATTAATAATGTAATAATCTTCAAAATGTCTAATGATATAGCTTATAATCATTACCACTTAGGAAATAGATAATTTTCAAATAAATCTGTCACTCCAATTTTTATTCTGAGATAAGACAAATCATAACATGATAACAACAGTAAAATATTTAAAAATTCTACTTTTGGATATTAAAAATGGTGATAACTCACAAAGGAGATATACTAAAATCTTGAAAATTAATAGAGACCTTCATTAAGTATATCACCATTTTAATAACCGATATTTCCTTCGAAAATCCGGTTAAAAAGCATTTAATGGCAATAACTACTATAAAGAGTTGATTTACTATTTGTGCCTTGATCGCGTGAGAACACACACAACACAGTTATTTCTTAGTGCATTTCTTCAAGACACTATATGCATAATGCAAATTAAAAAATTGCACATGCCCTTTATCAATAAGATTTCAAGTGTTACACTGTTCCTACCAGGATTTTTGGAGAGTATCAGCTATAATAATCGATCAGGGTAATCAAAGCAGCAAATAAGATATATGTGTTGAACATAATAAACTTGCATCTCGTTGCAACACATTTCCTCTATCATCATGATCATCATTATGGTTAGTTCCTATTGAGTTCCTTCTTTTTTGTTCCTTCTTTTTTATATTACCTTTTATCTATTGAGGTTTACTTTTCTTTTGCTCTGTGTAGTGTACTACCTAAGGCACAAATTATATCAAATTATAGAAAACTTCATCAGCTCTAACCTCAAATATTGACAATTTTATAATTTTTTATATTTTAGAAGAGAGTGTTGAATTCCATTTGACAGCTTCAGACATTCTAGTTTTTCACCTTTTTCAACTGGACCAAATCAATGCTGTTCCTTAAAATTCATAAGCCATATTTTTTAGTGTCACTTCATCACCCTTCTTGCTACATAAAACATGAAGAAATAAATAGGAAAGGTATATGAAAAAAAGTTGCAAGTAACACAATGTTACACTAGGGACAACAAAACATCAAAGGACAATAACTGTGTTCCTTGGCCATGAATTATTTATAGATCTTGTCTGCTATTCAAAGTTTTTCTCTATCACGGTTTTCATGATACATGTAGTAGGCAATAATAATTTTTTTTTTTAAATTTGTCCTTTAAGGGCAATAAATCCTGTAAGCATGCATATGGTAATAAGTCTTCTGTCAGGTTTGGTGTAAACATGGACAGTAGTTAAATCTCTACATTGACTGAACATAATTGCCTTTTCTCAAGAGAAGTTTTCAAGATACATGTAATAGACAAAACTTGCATTTTACCCCAAAGTTCCACAATTAGCCATGCTGGTTGGCAGGTGGCCTCACTGGACACATTTTTTAATACTATATACATGATATACACCAATGATAAATGTGACCAAGTTTGGTTCAAATTGGCGTAGCAATTTCAGAGGAGAATATTTTTGCAAAAGTTAAAGATTGATGCCTAGTGATGAGCTAAAAATTGTTTACCCAGTCACATGTTTTTTTTTCTCTGGCTAGATATGGAAAATATAAATGTAAAATTTAGTTGATAGTCATCAAACATAGATACTTTGAATGAATATTTATCCAGTCAAGATATGATTAATTAAAGTACTTACTCTATGCTATCATGTAAATCATGCTTTTTTAGGAACTTTGACAGGCAATCTTTAACCAATGTTTCCCTTTCTGCAGCCATCAAGTTATAGATCTTTTTGGTAAAACTGTATAGAAAGTTAATTTACTGATTAATGCCATCTTTACTTCTCCTGGGCTTTAAGTAGAAGGTAGCCATTAAATGTTTACCTGCTTGCATGCTCTAGCCGCTGCTTATATCAGAAGATTTTAGCATGCAATACATGTATATATATGTACATATATTTAAGCATTTTAGTCATAGATGCATATTTTTTCATTAGTTGTTATTGGCTTTGAATTAGCTGTCAGTAACAGCGAGTACTCTCAGATCTGTACTTTTTTTTGTTGTGGGGATGTAAAAGTACATTATTGTACCCTGCCACATCCACTCTGTTTTTGTTAGATGTATTTCTGCTTTGTATCCATCAGATGAGTTAAGCCATTTTCAACTGATTTTTACAGTTTGTTCTTATGTTTTACTTTTACACCACTATCCCAGGTTAGGAGAGGGTTGGTGCCTTCATGGCCTTCAAACTAGTTTAACCCTGCCATATTTTGTATTTGCCTGTCCCAAGTCAGAAGCCTGTAATTCAGTAGTTGTTGTTTGTTGCTGTATATCATATTTGTTTTTTTTTGTTCATTCTTCTGACATAAATCAGGCTGATAGTTTTCACGTTTGAATTGTTTTACATTTGTCATTTCGGGTCCTTTTATAGCTGACTATGTGGTATGGGTTTTACTCATTGTTAAAGGCCGTACGGTGACCTATAGTTGTTAATTTCTGTGTCATTTGGTCTCTTGTCGAGCATGTGGAGAGTTGTTTCATTGGTAATCATACCACATCTTCTTATTTTTATATATGTAAATAAGTACTCTGCTACGGCAACCCTTACATGTAGTAATTCAGTATCTAAAGAGATATAAACATGTACATTGGTGTCTGCTTTACTATAAATCAAGATGCTTGTTTGAATGCTTTCACCAAAAAAACTATTAAAAATTACATTTATACCATAAAATGACAGAGGAACCCATTTGTTGTCTGTTGTCTGCAAATAATGAGCAGAAAAAGGTGAGTCCATGTTTTGGTTTAGAAAACCCCCAAAATCACTGATACATGTACATATTAAATAGGTGCACAACTTCTTGTAGAGGAACATCTGAGTTCGGTTGAATTCTGTCTAGCTGTTTTCAAGAGTTGTGGACGCTAATGATGAATTAGAAAATTTCATGAAAATTGTACTTTCAGAACTTTTTTTTATAATTATGACTTACAATGTACATGACAGTTTTTTTGTTGGTTAGCTGATTTCTGACGATAAAGATTGTAAGTGGAGGCATTTGTATGAAAGTGATCGACACGATTTAACACTTTGAAACAAAAGTTAACTTCCCATAGGCGGATCCAGGGGGGGGGGGGCCCCCCCCCCCCCCTTTTGTAGGAAAAATTGGTTGATAATATATAGGGAATCACCGAAGCATGACTGGAGCGCCCCAGCCCCCCCTTATGAAAAGTTCTGAATCCGCCCCTCAGCTTCCTTATCAGAGTACATGTATTACATTAATGATGAATATGTAAAAAATTTACAAAATCCTTAACTTCTCATTTGAATATATTCATTATTAGAGGACATGATTTTCCATTGGCCTATATACATTTAGGTAGGCCTGTCAAGAATTGATTCAGACAGCAAAGGTAGGCGTGTTTATGCACGTCAACCTCTGAAAATGAAAATGTAGGTCTTTTTCATGACCTGCATTGGGGAAGAAAAAGTCAGGTCATTACGAGTACAAACTTTTTCAGTTGATTTTTGGTATTAAGAGGATTTTTTTTAAGAAATAATTCTTTCATGCCAATGCTTTATGCTTATTTTAACATTGGTAGGCATTACATGTATATTTGTCAATATCTTTATACCGAGCGTTAGCGAGGTGTAAAATATTGAGCAATATAATGCCTTACCCATGTTAAAATTAGCATAAAGCATAAAATTATGGCATGATAGAATTATTTCGATTCTGATACATTGTAGGAATCCATTTTGATTTGATGAACCCAAAACATTATCATGATTATAGAAAATCAACAGTTGAACGATCAAAAAATTAATATATAGACGTAAACTTACTTTTAGAATGATTTTATTTAATTTCCTAGCGAGCAACACAGACAAAACTATGCATATCGACCTCCGGCGATGTTCAAAATACAACTGACGTTGCAATTTTAATTGTGACGTCAATCATTCACGTGCAGCCCATGTTTTATTGTAATTAGAACATGGCTTTGTTTCCAAAGCTAAAGAAGGACGTCATATTAGAATATATTTTAGAACATATATATACGTTTGCTATAAATATTCACAATTATGAATTATGAAGTTTTTGTTGAAATTATTTAAAATTTTAACTTATGTTTTCATTTTTAAACATCATCATGATCATCATGATCATTGTACAATGTAATTTCCAAGGGGCATAACTCTTTAAAAAATATTTTAAACTTGTTCATGTTGTCAGAATCATTGCCTATAATGCTATATAAACTTTTGATATACATTTGATAAAAATCTGGCAAAAATTGTACACCTGAGAGCGCTGACAATGTAATTTACATATAACTAATATTTCAAATAAAGGGAGCATAAAACTTTTAAAAATAATTGATTGGCACTGACTTTTGTACTTGTCCGAGACATTGGAAGAGGTTCCAAAACTGTTGCACAGTAGTCAAAGTTGGATCTGACAATTCACATGCGTTATAGAAATCATAACATTTTTTGCTTTTATGATTACCTTATCGATGTGTGGTTTCCAGGACAGGTCATGCTATTTTTGACAATAAGCGGACTATAAGAGTTACGTTTCCGCAGCTATTATTGTTGCCCAAAAAATATTGATAAATTTATAAAATTGGGGCGAAATGAATTAGGGCGAAACCACCCATATTCAAACTGATGTAGGACACACATATTGTTTTCTTTCTTTCAATATTCTATCGTCTATCGATTAGTTTATATGTCGCAGCTATTATAACTTAGATACATCGTACCGAAAAACTTATAAAATTGTTCTGATGCTTCTCACGGTCTTTTGTTCGCAACCTCAAATTTTACCTTTTTTTGACTGTTTACATTTTTGAATACTTCCGCTTCGGTTAAACTAAAAATCTGAGGGCTGAAACCGATGTACCCGATTTCGGAAGTCAAAACTGAAGAATCAATTTGCTGCTCTTCTCATACATGGTTTACAAAATGAAAAATGAAATAAATAATTTATTGTATATTCATTAAGTTTAATACACCTTATCGCTATTTGTCCGCCATTACTGGACATCACACAAGTTCCCGTAAAATTTTGACGTCATAATAGAAATGTCTGACGCCACAATGGAAAAGTGATTGTTGTATGACGTCAAAAGTTCGAGCGGGACAGATTCTCGGGTCAAGCGGGAATAGCGATAAGGTGTATTCTAAATATTAAACAACTGAACAACTTATAATGTTACGTCTGAAACTATTATAATCTCAGGTCACGGTGACCACTATTCTAAATCATTCCGTAATCCGCAACTCGTATTGCAATCCTCTTTTTATGTCATTCCGATGTGACGTTATTTTTCATCTATTTTTAGACAGACGGAGAGAAAAGAATTTGTAGAAATTCTTGGGCAGAACTTATGCTTAGGAAGAATGATCACTCTCAGCTGGAATTGATTAGATCACAAGACAACAGTTTAAGGTAAAAAACATCGAGACATTTGCAAATTGACCAGTTTTCGACACACGGAGGTGTGTATCAATACCGCATTCTCATTGGACAACCTGTGCTGTGGCAAGACAGTCTCATCCCTAATCAAATCTTTCAGCGGAAAGAATAAAAATGTCAAGGATGCGTTAATGGGGACAGGACTTCATGGTTATTGTGGGGTAAATCACAAGGTTAGTGTCAAGTTATAACATATGTTATGCTAGTCCAAATCCAGGCGTCTAAGCCTTTCAAGATGTCATAATACACCTTATCGCTATTTGTCCGCCATTACTGGACATCACACAAGTTCCCGTAAAATTTTGACGTCATAATAGAAAATATCTGACGCCACAATGGAAAAGTGATTGTTGTATGACATCAAAAGTTCGAGCGGGACATATTCTCGGGTCAAGCGGGAATAGCGATAAGGTGTATTATTTGGACTAATGTTATGCCTACATGTATGAGGCTATGTTGATTGTTTGCATTGAATCAGTGTACATGTACCATGCATCTGATAAAGCTAACATCCTTAACAGTCAGTTTCAAAAAGCATTCTCCGAAGAAACATCAAGTGAACCCATTCCAGATAAAGGGAAATCTAACTATCCGAAAATGAAAAACACCACCATTTCAAAGAAGGGTGTAATAAAATTACTGCCAATACTGGACAAGATCAATCCTAATAAAGCAACTGGTTCAGATAAAATTAGCGGAACAGTACTTAAAGAACTTAGTAGTGACATTTCAACGGCAATCACTTACATCTTTCAAAAATTGCTCAACACAGGAAAAATCCCAGAAGATTGGAAACGTGCAAATGTCTGTCCTGTATTTAAAAAAGGGAATAAACACAATGCAATAAATTATAGACCCATACATTGTGTATCACTCACATGCATACTATGTTAAATCATGGAACACATTATAGCCAGTAGCATGAGTAGTATGACATGTATGATGGACCACCTAGAAAACAACAAAATTTTGTATGACCTTCAACGTGGATTCTGAGCCTCAAGACCAGTTGAAACCAAACTAGTATCATTCATCCAAGAACTAGCAAAAAATAACATCAATAACATTCAAACTGACATATATATATATAATTATGCTGGACATGGCCAAAGCTTTTGACAAAGTGCCTCTCAAAAGACTCCTCTACAAATTGAAATATTATGGCATTGAATACACCTTAAAATGGATAGAAGATTTCCTCACATCCGGCGCACAAACAGTCATTATTGATGGTGTTCAATCAAACAAAATATATGTAGCATCTGGTGTTCTCCAACAGTCAGGGGACTTACTGGAATAAGTGATTTAAAAATCACTTATTTAAGAAACAAATTTGAAGTTGCATCTGGGACCCACATACCAAATCACAAACACATCAACTTGAGATGGTCCAGGGCAGAGCAGCTAGGTACACATGCAACAGATACCATAACACCAGCTCAGTCACTGAAATGCTGCAAACACTAACATGACTAAATGAGACAACTCTTGAGAAAAGGAAAATAAGAACATGCATCATCATCTTCTACAAAATCATCTTGATTCAACAGATCTACTAACACAATCCGATGCAAGAACATGACAACATTCACAAATTTATTCTTTTAGACTTAAACAAACCACTAAAGATTCATACAAATGCTTATATTCATACCCAAGAACAATATTACAACATGTACAATGGAACCTTCTTCCAGTAGCTGCAGTTCAATGTCCGATACTATTGACAGTTTCAGAGAACAGATTCCAATATCTATTCTCAATAAACATCTAAACATTTAGGTAAATTCTACAATGTATATAGCATGTATAGTTTTAACCAAAATGTTTAGTACAAAACCATGAAAACAGAAAAAAAAAGAAATTCTGTTGAAATTTTTTTATTTTAATTTTGTATATTATTTACCATGTTTACTGTAAATAGAATTTAGATCCCACGCATGTGCGGCATAGTAAAATCAGTTTCCAGCATGTTATCATCAGTATGTTGATGGAGTACTTAATTATTATTAAGAAGAAGAAGAAGATGATTCTTTTTAAAGAGATCTGTAAAAAACCATTGTAAACACTTCAAACAAAATATTTTTTACTTTAATTTGAGTTTCGAAAAAGTGGATCATAATCTATCAAAGTTTCAAAGTGTTCGCTTTCTAAATTTTTCATCCCTCAGCTCGTTATTGATGACCTTTGTTTTGGGGCCTGTTGACCCAAACAGAAAGTTGTCTAAATGACTGTTTTTTATACGACCGCAAAAAAATTTTTGTCGTCGTATATATTGGTATGACGTTGGCGTCGTCGTCGTTGTCGTCGTCGTCCGTGGACACATTAGTTTTCGCACTCTAACTTTAGTTTAAGTGAATGGATCTCAATGAAATTTTACCATAAGGTTCAATACCACAAAAGGAAGGTGGGGATTGATTTTGGGGGTTATGGTACCCACAGTTAAGGAATTAGGGGCCAAAAAGGGGCCAAAAATAAGCATTTTTGTAACTTCCAGACATAACTTGTGTGTTAGTGTATGGATCTCTCAGACATTGTATCACAAGGTTCCATATCACAAAAGGAATGCTGGGATTGATTTTGGGGGTAATTGCCTCAAAATTTTAGGAATTAGGGGCCAAAAAAAGGGGCAAAAAACAAGCATTTTTCTAGTTTCATGACAATAACTTGTGTGTAAGTGTATGGATCTTTATGAAATTGTACCACAAGGTTCTATATCACAAAAGGAAAGCTGGAATTGAGTTTGGGGGTAATTGCCTAAAAAGTTAAGGAATAAGGGCCAAAAAGGGGCCAAAAATAAGCATTTTTCTAGTTTCCAGACAATAACTTGTGTTCAAATCTATGGATCTCTCTGAAATTGTACTGCAAGGTACCATACCACAAAGGGAATGCTGGGATTGATTTTGGGGGTAATTCCCTCAAAATGTTAGTAATTAGGGGCCATAAAAGGGCAAAAAAACAAGCATTTTTCTAGTTTCAGGACAATAACTTGTGTGTAAGTGTATGGATCTTTATGAAATTGTACTGCAAGGTTCCATATCACAAAGGGAAAGCGGGGTTTGAGTTTGGGGGTAATTGCCCTAAAAGTTTAGGAATTTGGGGCCAAAAAGGGGCCAAAAAACAAGCATTTTTCTAGTTTCCAGACAATAACTTGTGTTCAAGTGTATGGATTTCTCTGAAATTGTACTGCAAGGTACCATACCACAAAGGGAAAGCTGGGATTGAGTTTTGGGGGTGATGAATCATAAGGGGGTTCAAAAAATTGGGGATTTTTTTTTCTTTAAAATTTTCCATTTTAAATTGGTTATTTCTGATTTATATATAAAAGCAAATAATAATGATATGGTTTGAATAGGTAAATTAAACATTTTTAAGTTCTTAAACCACTTTCATTCTGTGTGAGAAACCTATGCTGTGTCAAATATTTAATTACAATCCAAATTCAGTGCTGTATCAAGCTTGAATGTTGTGTCCATACTTGCCCCAACTGTTCAGGGTTCAAACTCTGCGGTCGTATCAAGCTGCGCCCCAGCGGAGCATTTTATTCCATATTGGACTAAATAGCGATAAGGTGTATTGAGTCTTCAATGAATACTAATAAAAATATTTTTGTTTAGAACATAAATTGATAATATGAAAATGTTTTGTCGTTAGAAATATACATGATACATGTATATATATAAGTAAAAAAACATTGATAATATCTATGCACACGTACCAAAAAATTGTGTTAATGCATGCGGAAGAATACCTCAAGAACATTTTGCGCCAATCTCCCATGCAGAATTGTTGCTCCTTGCCTTCTCTATGAGAAAGGATGGATAACTCTGCATGGAAGATTCTTTTTGCAGGAAAATATGAATGCCTACTCATATCCAATGTTTTAGAAAAATCGAATTATTACAGAAGAGTGTCCACCAAATGTCCATGCACTTGCACTGCACTATCATTAGAACAGTAGAATAGAATGATATACCAATGGATCAAAATTATATATACATATGTTACAGTCAAGGGTCTAAGAGGGTCAAAAGAGGGTCAAAAACAAAAACATGCATTTTTATACGCCGTCAAAATTTTGACAGGACGTATAATGGTATACAAATGTCGTCTGTCCGTCTGTCTGTCCAGCGTAAACATGTTGCACCGTAACTTGAGAACGACTTATCCAAATTTCATGAAACTTAACATAGTTGTTTCTTATAATGGTCAAACGATCTGTATTCTTTTTGGTGAAAATAAGATTAAAACTTTTTGAGATATGGGACTTAGTAACTAAAACAGGTGTGTGTTTTTATACGACCGCAAACAAATTTTGAGGTCACATATTGGTATGACGTTTGCCTCGTCGTCCGAAGACACATTGGTTTTTGCACTCTAACTCTAGTTTAAGTGAATGAATCTCTATGCAATTTTACCATAAGGTTCAATACCACAAAATGAAGGTTGGGATTGATTTTCGGGGTTATGGTACCAACAGTTAAGGAATTAGGGGCCAAAAATAAGCATTTTTGTAACTCCCAGACATAACTTGTGTGTTAGTGTATGGATTTCTCTGACATTGTACCACAAGGTTCCATATCACAAAGGGAATGCTGGGATTGATTTTGGGGGTAATTGCCTCAAAATTTTAGGAATTACGGGCCAAAAAAGGGGCAAAAAAAAAAGCATTTTTCTAGTTTCATGACAATAACTTGTGTGTAAGTGTATTGATCTTTCTGAAATTGTACTACAAAGTTTCATATCACAAAGGGAAAGCTGGAATTGAGTTTGAGGGTAATGCCCAAAACCTTTAGGAATAAGGGGCCAAAAAGGGGAAAAAAAACAAACATGTTTCTAGTTACCAGACAATAACTTGTGTTCAAGTGTATGGATCTCTCTGAAATTGTACTGCAAGGTACCATACCACAAAGGGAAGGCTGGGATTGATTTTGGGGGTAATTGCCTCAAAATTTTAGGAATTAGGGGCCTAAAAGAGGCAAAAAACAAGCATTTTTCTAGTTTCAGGACAATAACTTGTCTGTAAGTGTATGGATCTTTATGAAATTGTACTACAAGGTTCTATATCACAAAGGGAAAGCTGGGTTTGAGTTTGGGGGTAATTGCCTTAAATGTTTAGGAATTTGGGGCCAAAAAACAAGCATTTTTCTACTTTCAAGACAATAACTTGTGTTCAAGTGTATGGATCTCTCTGAAATTGTACTGCAAGGTACCATACCACAAAGGGAAGGCTGGGACTGAGTTTGGGGGTGATGAATCATAAGGGGGTTCAAAAAATTTGGGGGGGATTTTTTTTTTCCTTTTTTTTCTTTAAAATTTTCCATTTTGAATTGGTTATTTCTGATTTATATATAAAAAAGCAAATAATAATGGTATGGTTTGAATAGTTAAATTAAAAACTTTTAAGTTCTTAGACCACATTCATTCTGTGTCAGAAACCTATGCTGTGTCAAACATTTAGTCACAATCCAAATTCAGTGCTGTATCAAGCTTGAATGTTGTGTCCATACTTGCCCCAACTGTTCAGGGTTAGACCTCTGTGGTCGTATCAAGCTGCACCCAGCGGAGCATTTTATTTTCACATATCGCACCGTATCTTAAAAATGATTTATGATTATTGCTTAAAACTTTACACACTTCTTAGTTATATTAATCTTAAGATCTGTATACTTTTTGGTGATGATTCAAAATTTTATTTTTGAGTTATTGAGTATTTTGTAAATAAAGGGGAGGGGTTTTTCACATGTTGCTCCGTATTTCAAAAACTATTTATGATTATTGCTTTAAATTTGACACACTTCTTAGTTATATTAATCTTAAAATCTCTATACTTTTTGGTTTAGATTCAAAATTTTATTTTAGAGATATTAATTTTTTTTTAAAAAAGGTGGGTTTTCACATGTCGCGCCGTATCTCAAAACGTTTTATGATTATTGCTTTAAATTTTACACATTTCTTAGTTATATTAATCTAAAGATCTGTATACTTTTTGGTTTAGATTCAAAATTTTATTTTAGAGATATTGATATTTTTTTTAAGAAGGGGGGTTTTCACATGTCGCGCCGTATCTCAAAAACAATTTATGATTATTGCTTAAAATTTTACACAATTCTTAGTTATATTAATCTAAAGATCTGTATACTTTTTGGTTTTGATTCAAAATTTGATTTTAGAGATATTGAGTTTTTTGTAAAAAAAAAAGGGGGTTTTCGCATGTCGTGCCGTATGTCAGAAACTATTTATGATTATTGCATAAAAATTCACGCACAAGACGACCGTGCCTATCATGCCCTCATTGCGCAGCTGTTTATTCTAGTTCAGACAATAACTTGTGTTTAAGTGTATGGATTTCTCAAAGATTGTATGTACTACAAGGCTCCATACCACAAAGGGATGGCTGGGATTGAGTTTGGGGGTAATTACTTCAAGGGGGGGGGGGGGGTCAAAAAGTCAGGGGATATTTTTCCCCAATTTTTCAGGGGGTTCATAATCATATTTTTTTTCTTACAAATTTTTGAAATATCAATTTTTTTGACAATTTTCAAGAAGAAATTTTCAATTGCACAGTATTGCACAATAGATTTTTAAGATCTTTGACCACATTTTTTATGTGTAGGAAACCTGTATTATATGTCAAAAATTTGATCACAATCCAAATTCAAACAGTATCATAAGTATCAAGCTTAAATATTGATTTTGCTGATTTATATTTATATTTTACAGATTGGTTCTTGGCCTAAGCTGGCTTCTGGAAAAGGGAGAAGAATTGGATAGTTGTGTAATCATTAATATGGATATAAATGATAAATATGGTAAAGACAGTATTGAACATGTTGAAAGGAGAATAATTGACTCAGAACAAAAAACAGAAACATGTATGCATAATACTGGCTTTGAAGGAAAGAAGCACAGTTCAATGAGTTCAGATGTGAGTATTCATGTTGATGTACCTCTAGCCATAAACAAATTATCAAAGACCATTGGCGAATCTTACACAGAGGACTGTAGTAAAATAGAAAAATTAGAAATGCATAAACCTGATAGCCAAAGACAAGTTAGTACCAGTGATGTTTTGAAAGTATTATCTGAACAACCATCAGATCATAGTGACCTAGATTTTGACTACCAGTATCCTAGACACAACCCATCTTTACATCATCAATCATTTGAAACCATCCCAGACGATAGCCAGGAACCTGTTATTGAAAAGGAATACAGGACACTTGCCTGTGAATCAAGTCAGGAACATGACGAAGCTATGGCTAATTCTAAAACCGAATTAAAGGTTACATCAGGAGGTGAAAGTAATTATCAGATAGATTTGCCAAAAAAAGAACTGAAGACCTTTGTTGTTGAAAATAGTAACAAGGAACATTTTCCTAAAACAGAGGTAGACCCCTTAGGAGTTGTTAAAAGTAAAAAGAAGACATCAACTGTTGAAAATGATAACAAGGAGCATTTGCCTACATCAGAACTGCAGATGGCCTCTGATGATTTAAGAAGCAGGATTGCTAGTAGTATTAGAGAGGAAGAAAAGGATGGAACAGATACATGTACCCCTGAAGCAGAATTTCAATTCAGTTCAACATCCACATCATTTGGTTTCTTGTGGATAATACCACTTCTTCTTATTTTCATATTGCACCACAACAATCTGCAAATGACCAACATAAAATATCCAGTCCCTCCTATCCTTTATTTGAGCTCAAAAATCACAAAGACAGGAAGACCAGTCGTGAACGAATATTCTAGCAATGGAAATAATAAAACAGAATATTGCAGCAATGAAAAGTATGAGTATTTTATGAAAGTCAGCTGTAAACAGAATTTTTGGACTGATAACTCAAGCATGAAGTACAAGGTTAAGGTTAAGACTATGGTAAATGAATTTTTTGAAAGATACTTAGATTCCAAATGTCAATTTCAGTATATGAGCTCAGAGAAGTTACATTTAAAGAAATGTCATCCAAAGCACAATTTTTTGTTTGAAAAAATGAAGCACTTGAGTAATACATGTAATATAACTGCTTATGCAGTTATTTGGATGCCAACAGACGATTTCATTCCTCCTAATGAAGAAAATGAGTTGATTCCATCTACACAAGAACATGCTGTAATAAACACAGGAGGCATGGATTCAATTATAAATGCCATAATTCCAGGTACTGTACAAAGTGTTATAGACAGTTGTAATGTGACTACCACGGCAATACAATGTACTGAAGGACCTAGGATTATCCCAGATGTAATAACTCAAAGTGCTGGAGAAAGTTCTGATATGGATACCAGGGCAGTACACATTACTGATGGATATTGGGACACCCCTAGTGGAACAATTCAAAGAGCTCGAGGAAGTTGTAATGTGACTACCACACCAATACAATGTACTGAAGGACCTTTGGATATCCCAGATGTAATAACTCAAAGTACTGGAGAAAGTTCTGATGCGGATCCCAGGGCAGTACACATTACTGATGGATATTGTGACATCCATGCTGGAACAATTCATAGTGCTGGAGGAAGTTGTAATGTGACTATTACGGCAATACAATGTACTGATAGACCTAGGGAAATCCCGGCTGGAATGATACAAATGGGAGCTGCTTGTACATGGCGAAGTTTAGAAGGAGAGATGAGCATGTCTTCTAGAGAACACAGTTCTGAAAGGAACTCAACCACTCAAAGAATAGAACAAAGTACAAATATACCTACATTTATCCGCATTCCCCATTCAACTTTAGTCATAAGATATCAGGATGTTTGCCTGCGCCTTGAAGCTGCTCAAGCTAATAGAAGAAATCTACCTGTTATGCCTGTGGAAAGATCTGTAAACAGCACCTTCACTACTACCCCACAAAGCCACAATACTAGGAATTCTAGACAGGAAACTTCCAGTACTTGTAATCCTGTGACTGCCAGTAGATCAACTGTTTCTACAGTTACCATGGTTCCCGATACAGGTGTTAATATTGAGTCAAATCCAGTCAGAATGAATGAGCAGCCAGTGGGAGCGGATGATTTGGCAAATATTATACAACGAATATGTCAACGATCATGTCAACATCGGGGTAAGAACATATTTTAGTATTGATTTTTGATCTACACTGAGCAGCCTAAATTCTGCATTTGCGCTATTTAAACAAGGAAATTTACTTTAAATACAATTGCATGCATATAGATGCATAGTATACCTTTATGAAACAGCAGTCTCAAGAAAAAAAACCAACTTGTTTGATAGATAGGTCAAGCTCTTCATTGCAAATTGCTCCAATGTAGATAAAAATGTGAATGAAAATAAATTCTATTAAATATATGAATAAACAGTAATATAAAATCTGCTAATGCATCATGGGGGATTCAATATTTCTACACACGAGACATTTAAATTTTCAGCACGACAAATTAAACTTGTACATAACATAGTCTTTTAAAAATAGGTTATTCACATCACTTGAAAAGTCATAACAGAAAGTACCCTCATTAAGAAATATTCAACTTTAAACATTTTGTTGAAGTAAGAGTAACATATATCAAAAGATAACATTTCATTTTTGGTTGACAACATTCTTTCATATATATTTCTATTGTAGGACTAGGTTCAATACTACGAAGTGCACCTATTGCTGGGCAACATAGACCAGATATGTGTTCCCCAGATACAGTTGCCACCATTTTGACATTGGCTGTAGGTCATAGTCCAGAAATCCTTGATGATTTTAGAACAAGGGACTTCACTGGACTACAGGTTTGTTGATTTAGGTCAAGTCAATTAATGTTAAAATATACTTATTGTGAATTTATATGAAGAAGAAGAAGATATTTTATTTCCATTAAATGGGCTCACTAAGAGCATATACAATGTAAGACATTATTTAAACAAAAAAAACAAAAAAATTATCAAGTATACATCTGGGGTTCCAATTAGCGGTGGTCCATGGTCAGTGACCATCCATTTTTAGGTACGAGCTTCCCGTTGGTAGTTAGCTAAACCCAACGGACTTTCATATTTTGCGGGTTAAAAAATTTACAAAAGCATTCTGAACAAAGAATATAAAATAAAATCTAGCGAAAAAAAGATGTCTGATGACATTGATTGCCAGCCAACATGGCTAAAAATAGAAAATAGTGGCAAATGCAATTTTTGTCTATCATCTCATGCATCTTGAAAACTGCTATAAGAGGAATTATTGATATGGACAGAAATTATCATTATATTGATATATACCTGGTACTGTTCATTTACATTTAACTGGCAGACAAATTGTTATAGGATTTATTGCCCTTCAATGATGAATTTTACTATTTTTTTTCTTTTTTGCCTATCATCTTCAAAAACATAAAAAACAGAGAGAAAATTTCTAAGGAAATATGATCAGGAAGACAAGATCTATAAACAAGCCATCATTATGTAAACGGTAGGATAAATCCTTGTTGGAGTTATTGCCCTGTAATAATATATGATGTTTACCTTTTTTGATGATTTTAATTTTTTGCATTTTTATGCCCCATCTACGGTAGTAGAGGGGCATTATGTTTTCTGGTCTGTGGGTCCGTTTGTTTCGTTCGTCCGTCTGTTCGTCCGTTCGTCCGTCTGTTTGTCCGTCTGTTCCTCCGTCTGTCCTGCTTCAGGTTAAAGTTTTTGGTCAAGGTAGTTTTTGATGAAGTTGAAGTCCAATCAACTTGAAACTTAGTATACATGTTCCCTATGATATGATCTTTCTAATTTTAATGCCAAATTAGAGTTTTTACCCCATTTTCACGGTCCACTCAACATAGAAAATGGTAGTGCGAGTGGGGCATCCATGTACTATGGACACATTCTTGTTATCTTTTATCTTGAAAACATTAAAAAATACTCTTTTTGTAGCAAGACGATATCTTCAAATCAGTCTATATAATTTTCATGGTGTCAAGATAAAAAAAAATGCACAAATCAATGACAAAAAATTTAAATAAGATGAAGATATTGTATAAAAAGTTATCATGGGTAAACCTTAAAGTGGAATGAGTGGGTATGTTTCTTAATGCCAGCCAACAGTTTCATCATGATGTCCTTGGCCTTTTAGTTTAAAGGAAGCATGTTCATGATGATGGGTATAAGGACAACTATACAATGGCTAGTGATGACACTGTAATCTTTATTATTATTTTCCAAGTTTGGACACCATATATTTATCTACACCTTTCAGGGCATTAAACACAGTTCACTAAATTTCATATTACATTACCATGCATAATTTATTAATAATTAATATATATGTGAAACGATTGTATTTTTTTAGGTTTTGGAAATTGTAAGAAATTTTCTGGTACACAATCATGTTGGTGTAACAACTGATATCCATCGCATTGTAAGGGAAAGATATGGAGAAAGTGGAGACATTTATCGTGAGGCCGATGTGGTTTCAGCTGTAATGGGAGATACAAAGATTGAGGAAGTGACAACATGTACCAACACAAAATGCCATGCAATCAACACCAGAATTATTGATTCTTCTTTGTCAATGTTGTAAGTCAGCATCAACTAATTTATTTGTTCTATGGATATTTTTGTCTTTCCTAAAACGAAAGGAGACATTTTGTTTTCCTCATAATTTTTTTCTTGTAATGTTCTTCTGATCATGCTGATTGGGTCATAAAAACAACCACTGGACGTTAAGCAACCAAACAATCAATCAATCAATCATAAAAACAATGAAAAAATAAAAATTAGATTCTTTCTTTGGGGAGATTATGTAGCTGAAATCTTTGAGGAAAAAAGCAAAATGAAGGTTACCATTTTTATTTTTAGCTTAACAGACTCAAAGGGCCAATTTAACTATTCTAATAACCTGGGCTCTATTGTCTGTTGTCTGTCATCATCTTCCGTTAACTTTTACAAAAATCTCATGAATGAAAATTCTGGGCAAAATAAAACCAAACTTTGCCACAATCATCATTGGGGTATTCAATTGTCACTGCTGACACACATGGCTGCCATGGCTTAAGATAGAAATTAGGGGTAAAAACAATGTCTTTTTTTTTTATTTTCTATAGACAACTAAAATCTGACACAAGCAAAAATGTTTAGAATGATAAGATTTTCCTACTTTCTATAGACATAAAAACTGTCACATAACTTTTTGTGAGAATTATTGCCCTTAATCAATGAATTTTACCAATTCTTTTCATTTTTGACCATTACATGCATTATCTAAAAAATAATGATAGACTTTGAAATGTTTGATTAGCAAAAATGATCAGCAAGACAAGATCTACAAATAAGTCAACATGACATGAGGCAACAGTTTTTATACGACCGTCGTATATTGGTATGACGTTGGCGTCATCTTCGACGTCCGAAGACACATTGGTTTTCACACTCTAACTTTAGTTTAAATGAATGGATCTATATGAAATTTTACCATAAGGTTAAATACCACAAAAGGAAGGTTGCAATTGATTCTGGGGGTTATGGTACCAACAGTTAAGGAATTAGGGGCCAAAAATAAGCATTTTCTAGTTTCCAAACAATAACTTGTGAAATGGTGTATGGATCTCTCTGAAATTATACCACAAGTTTCCATACCACAAAGGGATGGTTAGGATTTGCTTTGGGGGGTTATGGCTCAAACCGTTAAGAATTAGGGGCAAAAAAGGGGGGGGGGGGGGAAACAAGGTTGTTATGGTTAATGGACAAATACTTTAGTACAAAACATAATTTAAAGCAGTGTAAGGGAGATAAATCAAATACATCATTTGAATTACCTCCCTTACACTGCTTTTAAATTATGTATAAAGTAATGGTTAATGAACAATTAAGACAATTTAAAACAGTGTAAGGGAGGTAATCCAAAATACGTTTTGATTACTTCCCTTACACTGCTTTTAAATTATGTTTAAAGAAATGCATATTTATAAAGGAAGACCAGTAAAAATATCTGCAAATGTTGCATCTTTTTTTTTTACAAAAAAATCCGTATGAAAGATTTGACACCATATTTTAAATTCTATTATAAAATAGATTAAGTTAGCACTATGGTAAATTTAAATGGGTAATTATGGTTGCAAATTCCATTGGAAATTTGAATTGAGATTATGACCATAACTTGAGGGAAAGAATTTTTTGGGGGAAAAAAGGGGGGGGGGGGGAAAGAAATTGTGGGGGGTCAATTTTTTTCTCATTTCAGATTTCAGAAATAAAAAAAAATTATTCTCAAATATTTTTTTTTTTCAAATTTCAAATATTGAAAAATTTCAAGAAGCAATCTTTAATTGCACAGTATGGCGCATTAGATTTGTAAAATCTTTGACCACATTTATTTATTTGTTATGCCGAATCTGACCGTGTATTTAGATTTTTAATTTTGGGTCCAGTTTTCAAATTGGTCTACATTAAGGTCCAAAGGGTCCAAAATTAAACTTAGTTTAATTTTAACAGAAATTGAATATATGGGGTTATTTGATATGCTGAATCTAAACATGTATTTAGATTTTTGATTTTGGGCCCAGTTTTCAAGTTGGTCCAAATTGGGGTCCAGAATTAAACTTTGTTTGATTTCAACAAAAATTGAATATATGGGGTTCTTTGATATGCTGAATCTAACCATGTATTTAGATTTTTTATTTGTGGGCCCTGCTATCAAATTGGTTCATATTGAGGTCAAAAGGGTCCAAAATTAAACTTTGTTTGATTTCATCAAAAATTGAATTATTGAGGTTCTTTGATATGCCAAATCTAACCGTGTGTTTAGTTTTTAATATTGGGTCCCGTTTTTTAAATTGGTCTACATTAAGGTCCAAAGGGTCCAAAATGAAACTTAGTTTGATTTTAACAAAAATTGAATTCTTGGGGTTCTTTGATATGCTGAATCTAAATGTGTTTAGATTTTTGATTATGGGCCCAGTTTTCAAGTTGGTCCAAGTTGGGGTCCAAAATTAAACTTTGTTTGATTTCAACAAAAATTGAATATATGGGGTTCTTTGATATGCTGAATCTAACCATGTATTTTGATTTTTGGGCCCCGTTATCAAATTGGTCAAAAGGGTCCAAAATTAAACTTTGTTTGATTTCATCAAAAATTGAATTCTTTGGATTCTTTGATATGCTGAATCTAACCATGTAAATTGGACCATAATAGGTAAATTAAAATTTTTTAAGTCCTTAGACCACATTCATTCTGTGTCAGAAACCTATGCTGTGTCAAATATTTAATCACAATCCAAATTCAGAGCTGTATCAAGCTTGAATGTTGTGTCCATACTTGCCCCAACTGTTCAAGGTTCGACTTCTGCTGTCGTATCAAGCTGTGCCCATCGGAGCATTTTATTACCAAAATATCATTATTCATGGCCAACTAATAGAAAGCTGGTATTTCTTTTACAGGCTAGCTCAAAGAATTTCATAAAAAAATTGTGTAAATTTCTTAATGCGGCATCAAAGTTAAGATCACAAATTATCATTGCATAACAGTTATAGAAAAATAGAAACAAGACTTCGAATACATAAAATAACATTTGAAACATGTGATCGTAATATTTTTTTCTTTATCTGAACAGAAACTGATTCCAGTTAGATATAGTAAGATAGATAAAGCAAATCTTCTCTCTCAGTTCAGGAAAAAGTATGGATTTAATATGTATTCCTATATATCCATTACCCATGTTAAATATTCCTGACTTATACCTCATTTTCTCTATTCATTACCTTGTGTTTTGCCTCTTGTATAGTTCTGCATGTATCTATAACATGTATAATCCTGATTTAATGGGTAATTTTGTTTATTAATAAGAAGTTCAATTTAAACCTACAGGTAAGTCCCTTGTTTGCAAGCTGACAGTTTTATCATCCCCTTTTTCCCCCATTACCCCCTTTCCCTCTTTCACCGAACTTGATGTTTTTATTTGTGAAATTTATCAATCACATGTCCAAATTAAACCTTTCAAACCATATTCAATTGTATTAGTTACAACTGTCAATAATCTAATTTTGGATGTAAAGCGTCTTCGGATTGGCTAACGGTGTTTGTCTTTCATCTCATAGATATAACTTTGTCATGTGACTGTAACGTCATCAACCTTTTTTTCATGATTTACTACAGCTTCAAATGGAATTTAGAATTAAATTATAAGGAATGACTGTAATATTTTTTCTGTCTATTCGAAATAAAAATAAAAAATGTGGTGCACACTTTAAAATAACTCAGGTTATTCAGTGTGCACCACATTTTTGATGATATTTCTTCATAGACAGAAAAAATATTACAGTCATTCCTTAATTTACAAAAAACATTTATCTGAAATTTATATAATGTTTTCATGTATAATCAATGTGTTCTGCCTTGTACACAGAATTTGTAAAGCTAACTAAAGCCTATGCAATTGAAATATTATAATGCCTTTCACCAGGAAAGCAAAATGTAAAACATTTCCAGGTAAACTGTAGAAATATGATAAGAAAAATTGTATACCTCCCACCCCACCCCCTAAACATAAAGTAAATGAAAAAATAAAAATGATAATTAAAAATATCATTATTAATTATAATTTTTGTTTCAGTCAACCAATTCTCTGTTACCCCGGTACATATTTGTTATATTTGGAGGACATGTTTTTCAACAAGCAATTTGGGCATTACCATGGGAACCAACTGTTCTCCTCTTGCTGATGTGTTCCTTTATTCCTTTATTTTTATGGGGCAGACTTCATACAGTAGCTTCTTAGATAGAATGAAAAGAAGCTAGCATTATTCTTTAACTTCATGTTCAGCTATATATAGATATATTGACTTACATTTAAAAACTGACAATGAGAGTCTGTTAAGAACAAAATTTTCTGACAAAACATGATTTTAGCTTCCCATTTGTGAACTTTCCGTATCTATGTTGTATATGAAGTATGTATCTCAAATTGATACTATACTCCAAAGCATTTCTTTTAAATTATCATTTTCTTGATCATGTTGATAGAGGGTTTACAAGAAAGCTATTAAACCAAGGGTTCCAAAGTCATCCCTTTACCTTAAACACTTTATAGACACTGTCACAAGTTGGTTTACTTTTATGAGATATCTGTTTCACAGATTACAACTGATTATTCCAATTGTCATATTCATAATTCCATCCTCTTTTTCTCGAATTTAACATCAAAATAGACTTATTGACAAATTTGTACTTTCATGAGCACCATGATGTGTGTCAATTATTGAGTAGGAGCTGATTGCCCTTTCAGAGCACCCAAGATCTTTGCCAGTGTTTAAACTTCAGTTTTGTGTTTTGTAGACTGTTGCTTGTTTTTTGTTCTTTTTGTCATTTTTGTTGAGCCTGCAACTTTTGTCGCAGAAAGCTCGACATAGGGATAGTGATCCGGCGGCGGCGTAAGCTAACTTCTTAAAAGCTTTATATTTTAGAAGCTAGAAGACCTGGATGCTTCATACTTTGTATATAGATGCCTTATGTTACGAAGTTTCCGTCTGTCATATGTCCATTGTCCTTGACCTCATTTTCATGGTTCAGTGACTACTTGAAAAAAAAGTCAACATTTCTTGTAATGTTAATTTCTTTCTTATTATGAGTAATAGGATAACTATATTTAGTATGTGCATACCTTGCAAGGTCCTCATGCCCGTCAAACAATTTTCATTTGACCTCGACCTCATTTCATGGATCAGTGAACAAGGTTAAGTTTTCGTGGTCAAGTCCATATATCAGATACTATAAGCAGTTGGTCTACTATATTTGGTATATGGAATGATTGTAAGGTGTACATGTCCAACTGGTAGCTGTCATCTGACCTTGACCTCATTTTCATGGTTCAGTGGTCAAAGTTAAGTTTTTGAGTTTTGGTCTTTTTTTCTAATACAGGTTTTATTTGACCTTGACCTCATTTGCACGGTTCATTTCTCAGTGTTAAGTTTTTGTGTTTTGGTCTGTTTTTCTTCAACTATAAGCAATAGATCAACTATATTTGATGTATGGATGGATTGTAAGGTGTATATGTCTGTCTGGCAGGTATCATCTGACCTTGACCTCATTTTCATGGGTCATTGGTCAATGTTAAGTTTTCATGGTTAAGTTTGTTTTATAGATAATATAAGCAATAGGTCAACTATATTTAATGCCTAAATTGATTGTAAGGTGTACATGTCTGTCTGGCATGGTTCATCTGACCTTGACCTCATTTTCATGGTTCATTGGTCAATGTTAAATTTTCTTGTTTAAGACTGTTTCTTAGAAACAATAAGCAATAGGTCAACTATGTTTGGTTTATTGAATGATTGTAAGGTGTACATGTATTTCTCGTTTGGTTTATCTGACCTTGACCTCATTTTCTTGGATCATGTTAAGTTTATGTGTTACTTGTAGTAAAGCTTTGTATTTAGGACTATCAACATGAAATCAATGGTTAGTAATGAAGGCGAGACATTTCAGCGTGTGCACTCTTGTTTTGTGTTTTGCCATGGTGTTGTCAGTTTATCTTCAACTTACGAGTTTTATTATCTGATTATTCTTGTGGTATCATCTGCCTCTCCTTTTTATTGGTTTAACAGAATTATTTATCTTGTTTCAGCAACAGACATGACAGAAGAGTTTTGACATCAAAAAGTTTAGCAGAATATCTGAATCAACATTTGATGAGAAGAGAAGAAACTTGCAGTCAATGTTCAGGGTAGGACAACGTTTAACAAAGAAGTGTGTTAGTTAGGGCATAGGAATACTTAAAGTAAAAATTCAATATAATAAGTCATGAATCACATGAATGACCATTTGCTGGAAACCTTTGGATATTTGATACATTTATGATCATCTCTGGAGTTGTAGTTTGGATGGTCTTAATCACCTTCAAAACGTAGCTGTTATTGGCAAGAATAAATTCTTAAAATTCCATTTTTTTCAAATAAAAAAATAATTTATGCAAGCCATAGATTTGTTACAAGTGAAACATTTCAGGTCTTATGAAAATAATACCCAATATATTACTTATATGAATTATTTTAATTCTAATAGGACAAATTTGGTAATTTAAAAGAAAAGTTGGGCTGTGTGTGTGGCTTTTTTTTTTTTATTTAACCCCCTTTAAGCATGTTAAGATAAAAGTTATAAGCTAGAATCAAAAAATTTTCTTGATGTATGTTTAATATAGGATATATTCAAACTCTTGACTATTATTTAAATGACTTTTTATGCCCCTCCAAGAGGGAGAAGGCATAAAGTTGTCTGTATGTCCCAAAATAAGTTTCTGTTCTCCAACTTTACTTTACTACAACCAAATGTACTGAAACTTATACACAATGCTTACCACCACCAAACACAGATCATGGTTGAATATGAGTGGCTTTGCTTTTGTCCTTCTCAAGTAATGCATGTCCCTTCATAAATGGAAAAGTTGGCAAATTTACAGTTTCCATTTTCTAACTTGACTTTATTATACAATTATAGCCTTTGTATGAGGTCGATATAAGGATATATTGACCTGAAAGAAGTATATTGACTGATGATGAAGTCAGAGGTCGATATACTTCTTTGTGTCGATATATCCTGTATTGACCTCATACAAAGGCTATAATTGTAATATTATTAATTTCCGACCATAATTTTTTCTCTCTTTTACTGATCATTTAATTTTATTACAATTTTGAAGATATCATATTGTCACTTTGAAAATAACAACATTTTAGTTGATATTTCTATTATTTTTTATGTTTTTTCATGTACATCTTATATATTTGAAGATTTTTTTCTTCAAAATATCGATCATAAATGAACACTTTTTAAAAACTTTTAACAATATCATGAAATTCATTAGGTGACGTCACAAAGTATATCGGTTTTTAGATATTCTAAAAATAACCATGCAATATCACGTTTTCTATCTACCTTGAATTCGAAAATACAGTTTGACATGTGACTATCCCTGAAGGAATCAATTAGTTAGAATATACGAAATAATAATATAACAAAATATTATGAAACTTATGTACAATGCTCATAACCACCAAAAACATATCAAGTTTGAATTTGGTGGCTCTACTTTCACTGTCCTTGTGTTATGCCCCTAAATTAATGAAAAATTGCCATATTTTCTGTTTTGCACACTCAACATTCACAAACAAATGTTATAAGGCTTCAAAGAAAAAAAACAAAATGTCAATAGGTTTGAATAAGTACTTTGATTCTTACAAATTTACAAGATGGGGCATATGTGTCCCATGTTTTCAAGCTACAAGTTGTGTTAAATTGCAGAATTTTACATAGTTTATTCATTATTTTTGTAAATAAGAAAAAATCTGACAGTTTGAGATAAAATTTTAAAATAAAATATAAGAAGATAGATTTTATATATGCTTTATATAATGTCACCGATCTTGTTTTCTTGCTTCAAGTAAAAATGAAAATTTCTTTAACATTCCTTCATAGAATTTTTACTATTAGAGTCATCTCCCCTGAAATGGCTAAGCTAAAACATTGATAAGAACAAAAAACTAATATTTGATATTTGTTAAAACAGTGTACATGTAGATAATGCAATAAATAATTTATTTTCCTTTATTTAAATAAACAGTCTACACGTTAATTGCCAATATGTCTCAAAATTTGAAGATTTAAGCAAAGAACTAGGCCTAATGTGTACTTTACAGTCCAAGATGACGGTATACAGTTAATCTACCTTAAAGATTATGTAAACAAGGGAAAATGACTTACAAAAACAATGTGCGCCAAATACACATGTAACATCCTTGCACATATTTAATACATAATTATATCTGTCAGAATTCTCTATTTAGAAGGGATTTGTATGAATATTACAAAACAGTTTTTTTGCTTTTTTGTCTTTTTTATTCAAGTGTCACTGGTGAATCTTTTATTCATGAACTGTCATCACGCTACAAAATTTTAATCCTAGTATCTATGAAAGTTTATCTTAACATACATTAAGAAGAAATGTTGATTTAAAACAAAAATGGATTTTTTTGTCTTTTTTTCTCTCGCAAACTAACAAATGAACCATAGTGAAATGGATACTAAATATAAATATATAAATCTTTTCTTTTTTTTTTCTAGACCAAAAATATGATAGTGATAGTCTGAGTTTTCAATACATATATATGTATATGTATATATATTTATTTACATCAAGAAAAAAATTGATTTTTAAGAATAAAAATGTTTGCAAATACATAGAGTCAAACTGACAATATATATAGAATAGAGAATAGAAATTGGGAATGTGTCATAGAGACAACAACCCTACCAAAGGGCAGAAAACAGCTCAAGGCAATCAATGAGTCTTCAATTTAGCGAGAAAATCTCGCACCTGGAGGCAGTCTTATCTGACCCCTAAACAATAATGTCTACTAGTTCAGCAAAATTGACATCACACACAACTCCAAAACATATAATTCAAAAAAACACACAAGACTAAAGAAGGCTAGAGGTTCCTCACTTAGGACAGGTGCAAAAATTGTGATGAGGTTATATATAAGCTTCTGAATTTATGTGTCTCACTTTTGTTTCTTTAAATTAGTCAATGATGGGGTTATTGATCATGTGAGTCTGCATACAGTGTTTGATTGGCTAGAAGTAGACTTTTATTCTAGTATAATTCTTATATAATTTGCATATTAGGGAATACGTTGATATGATTGGTCGAGAGGACTTCCGGTAGTTGTTCTTGACATTGTTTATTTTTCGATAGACGACGTTGACCTAACTTCTTTTCGTAACCAATGTAAACAAGATGGCGGTGATAATAACACAATCCGGATCGACATTAACAAAATTTATTTTCACTTCGCGTTAATCGTTAAATTAAATAATAAACACAAAACGTTGGTTTGAATGATAATAAGAGTTTTTGTAGTTTATTTTTTATCAGATAGCAAATTTCATGGAGTACATATTTTTGCGTTAACCAACAAATATATTCATCATATTCATGCTCCAGGCCTATTCAATGACACAAATATACAATTTACGTGTGATAGAGGTTAAGAGTGTGGAAAAATATATTCCTTATCTCCAATTTTAAAGAATTATAAGGATTAAATGCCTTTTTAAAGGAATTTATTGGTGTATAAACTGGACCAAGTCACTTACAAACATATCATAAAAGTCCTTCGGACTTTCATTTGTTTGTGAGTGAATTGGTAGAGTTTATACACCAATAAATTCCTTTAAAAGGCGTTTAATCCTATAATATAACTTGGACATGAAATACACATATTTATTAGGTATTTGATAAAGTTATTTGATATATATAAATTTAGTAGCTTAAAAAATTACATATAAAGCATGATATATACATGTATGTATATTTTTAATATATAGCATTATATGTCAATGATATAATTGTAAATTATGAAAGTCTAAAGCTAGTTAAAATAAAGAGTAATTTTAGATATTTTAAATTCTAGTTTTGATGTTTTGTACAAAGACAGTTTAGAATTTACAGTCACTTGAAAAATTGATTAATAGCTGATGTGAATATTTATTTTCCCTCACTGAATTGCATAGTTGTTACCCCTACACTGAAAGTTTTTAGGGGTATGTAAGAATCACCCTATCTGATTGTCCATGAACCTTAAATGCAACTCCTAGCTATCAGCTTAACAGATATTGATGAAACTTTACACTACCATAGGGTGTGCATAACAACTTTAATTCTAGTTCAACAAGTTAAAGGGGAGATAATGGATTTAATCATTCTTGTGCTTAAAGTACCCATTTCAATAAAAGATATAGGTATCTGATTTATGAGGTAAAAATTGGCCTTTTGGGTAATAAAGTTGATCACCTACACATATGTAGTAAAGCTTTTGATTTGATATGAAGCTGTAATCCAGAATTTAATACAATAGAGTGATACAAATAAGTGGTTTGCTCCACTAATAAAACATTTTTGTAAAAATGGAAAGGGTAACATTTCTTACTAAATATCTTATATGCAATGGGAAATATCTGCTATTGCTATAAATTTGCTATCATGCATTTCTCTTTGTTATGCTCATTCAATTATCTACATGAATAATCATATGTTTGACTTGGTAAAGGTATTGTGCCATACATTTTAATATATTTTACTGCCTCTTACACATGTTACATGTTACATATTGTAAAAGTTGTTCAGTTTATTTCCAAGAGTTGACGATGACTGCAGTTGTTCAAATGCATTATAATTATCTACAGCTAAAGAAGGAAAGAATTTTTACGATTTTGAAAAAAAATACAAATTTTTAATGTCTGTTTTTTTTATGCAAACAAAACTTATATTATTTTATTAAATTATATATATATATACATCTAAATATGAGACAACCTTAAGTTAGTCATTCTCCATCGGATAACATGTGGAAATACAGGACTAACACCATGATTTATGAATATATCTCGTCTCAAATTTAGCCCAACAATGTTAGATCTGCAAATTCTTCTTTTGGTGGTATTCAACCTCTACATCCGAAACATCATGGCAACACTGCATGCACTGTGTCCAGCCCCCTAGACCACTCGACCAACTAGGCTTAGCCGCTATACATGTATAAGTGTTCAGAAAACTAATTTACCAAACATGTTTACCGTTACTAAATATTTTTTTCATTTTGAGTAAATATACTGTTTTGATTATCTTCTAATTCATTTACAGAGCTCCAGCTGGTACTAGACAAAGCAGAAGAATGATTAATTCAAGGCTTATTTATATAAATGCCTTCCATGCTAAAATAACAAAGGCCAATATAAAAGATATGCTTAGTCCATTCAGAGTCGGTGATTCTGTCTACCAGGTTCATGCTTTGAGCTTCTGGCATGACAATCATTTTACAGCAAGGATAAATATCCGTGGCCAATGGTGGACCTATGATAATAAGATAGGATTTAATGAACAGGAAGATGATGATGGCAACCCAGGACTTCTGTCGGGAATATATATAAAGAAGATCGGGTAGATTGAGATTTTTCAAAAAAATTTTATGGTTTATAATAATAATTATGAATTATTTGCGAAGTTAAAACAAAATATTTATCAACCAGGTCTTGGTATCTTCCGATGAACTTTTTTAGAAGTTCTTAAGCTTTCATGTGATACAAAAATTTGATACAAAAATTACCCAAATATTTTACATATTAAAAAAGTATGTAGGACCCATTTTGTTTTTAAAATATGTACTACTTTATTGTATATTCTTTCTGATCAAATTAGTGGTTCTATACCTTGTAGGGCCAGTAGGAGCTTTACTCATCAATTTGAATAGCTCTAAAAAATTTCATGTAGTTAAATGAGTTTATATTGAGTTGATTTTTCAAAGTTTATTTTAAAAAAATCTTATCAGGATTAAGAAAAGTTGTTGTTACTTTTGTTTTTAAATTATAATTATAGAATATTATTTATTGATCTTCTTTTTTATGTGCTAATGAAGTTGTTACTTTAAATTAAGTAAGAGTTCTCTGATCTTTGTCTTTCAGAAAATTCATGATATTATATAAAAATTAGTGTAAAAAAAATATTTATTTTTTTAGAATACCTTTGAATGTTACCTGGTTAGAAATCAGTCAAACTATTTTTTTCCCCTTGTCACTCGTTTCAATTTTATGATTTAAACCAGTTTCTGTTGTGCTAATTGATTGAAAAAGGGAGAGAACATAATAAGGGTCCAGTTAAGAAGTTGAACTTTAAGTTGATATAGTAAAATAAAAAACTGGGAGTGACATTTGAAACTGCTTAATAAGTCATCTGTCAATTAATTTTGGGCAATGGAAACTCATTTAATCATTCTGTTAGAACAAGTGCCAGAATATGCTGATTTGTAATCAGATAAGGAATTTCAAAGGTATTTTTAAGCTTGTTGCATGTTGTATAGATTTTTTTAAAGGGTATGTCAGAGATTATTTGTTGATCTAATCATGCTGACTAGTCTTACAAATTAATGTTTTTTGTGGTGTATGATACTGATATTTGAAAAAACACCTATAGTATATTTTTCCATATATTACAGGATAAAATTAAATGAGAGTAAGTACATATATGTTTTGTAACAGTTGTTGCTTTTAAGGATGTTGGCGCTAGATGTTTGATGCATGCATTGTTCTTTCATAAATGTTTGGTTTTTTATGGAAATAATCAAAATAAAGAAATAATGTCTTTATTTTTGTAGGGAATTTTTCAGGTAATATAAAAGCAAAAATATATAAGAAAATTCTGGAAAGAACAATTTTGCTAAAAAGGATTTAATGTGTTAACACATAATTCCTGCACCTTTGTTTTTTAAAATCACAAGAAAAAGTGCATTGCCTAAGGGCCATATTTCTAATACAGACCAGACATATCTCTTTGTCAACAGTTTATTACAGTTTAGTGTTATGTTGTGAATGCTGTTGTATCTTGTATAGATCTATGAGTTTATTTACGCCATTATCCAAGATTAGGGGGTTGGATGCTTGCAAACAAGTTTAACCCTGCCACACACTGCATGTGCCTGTAATTTTGTGGTTGTTGTTATTTGTTTTATTTGGTTTATTGTTTTGTACATAAATCTGACTGTTAGTATTTTTGTTTGAATTGTTTTGCTTGCTATGCTTTGATTGAAGCTTGCTATGCTTATAGTTTTGCTCATTTTGAAGGTCTTACGGTGACCTTTTGTTTGCTAACTTCTACATCATTTGGTCTTTGGAGGCAAATTGTATCACTGCCAACCATACCACATTTTATTATTTTTAGATTAAAGAAATCACTGTTAAAGATAAATCTGATTTTCTGCTAGAAAAATATATAAATTAATATTGCAAGTGTAGGAAACCCTCCTTCATTGAAAATGAACACTAGCACAGTTGGTTGAATTTTGCCTTTAGGGACGTGTCAATTCAAATAAATAAGGAGACCAAAAGGTTATTTTGTAAGATACTGCTGATTCATTTATTTTTGTGGTTACCAATTTTCGTGGATTGACGAAAACTTGTGTTTTCATGGATATTTTATTTTGTGGCTTTGGCAAAATTTGCTTACATACCTTTAGAAAATTTTTGATTCGTTGGACATTTAAATTTGTGGTTCCGCAGTACCCACAAAATCCATGAAAATTGGTATCCAACGAATATTAATGAATACACAGTACCCTAAATCATGTAAATAGCTTTGACTTGACCTGAAATTTTTAACTTTATTTTATACATGCAGTTTCCAAAAAAAAAAAATTTATAAATTTTATTATTTAGAATTAAATAAATGTGCAGTATAAATAGATTTGTTATTTAATGGATAAAAGTTTAAAATTTTTTTTAGATATCTATAAAAATGTTCAGATATCATTTTTATACAAAAGCTGACTCTTATTGAACTTGGAACTTAGTCATAATGTTTAACTGGAAACTTAAATGAAATATTACACAATAGAATGATAAAACTATTGTATAATAATGAATGAAGTTCATTCATGTTAAACATTCATACTAGTCACCAACAATAAGAGTAGCTCAGAAAAGTACTTGCAGGAACAGGGACACAGTATCTATGCATGATAGGCTGGAAAGATATAGCATCTTATATTATGTGATGTATTGTAGCAGATCAAAACCAGGTGTACATTTTGTATACTGTTGTACATAATTAAAGTAATATTTATTTGTACATATTTTTATTGCTTTCATAATTTATTTGATATTTGTTTTTAGTTGGGTTAGTGTTACTCAATATTAAGTTTTCTAATGTAGTGTTTTGTGGACATTTATTTTTCATAGCTTTTGTTTTTTTTTTTGCCAACCTGTTGTTAGTTTCTTTTTTACTTAATAATTTTTATACGACCGCAAAAAAATTTTTGTGGTCGTATATTGGTATGACGTTGGCGTCGTCCTCGTCGTCGTCGTCTGGCGTCGTCCGGCGTCGTCCGAAGACACATTGGTTTTCGCACTCTAACTTTAGTTTAAGTGAATGGATCTCTATGAAATTTTACCACAAGGTTCAATACCAAAAAAGGAAGGTTGGGATTGATTTTGGGGTTATTGTACGAACAGTAAAGGAATTAGGGGCCAAAAATAAGCATTTTTGTAACTTCCAGACATAACTTGTGTGTTAGTGTATGGATCTCTCTGACATTGTACCACAAGGTTCCATATCACAAAAGGAATGCTGGGATTGATTTTGGGGGTAATTGCCTCAAAATTTTAGGAATTAGGGGCCAAAAAAGGGGCAAAAAACAAGCATTTTTCTAGTTTCATGACAATAACTTGTGTGTAAGTGTATGGATCTTTCTGAAATTGTACTACAAGGTTCCATATCACAAAGGGAAAGCTGGAATTGAGTTTGGGGGTAATTGCCGAAACGTTTAGGAATTGGGGGCCAAAAAGGGGCCAAAAATAAGCATTTTTCTAGTTTCCAGACAATAACTTGTGTTCAAGTGTATGGATCTCTCTGAAATTGTACTGCAAGGTACCATACCACAAAGGGAAGGCTGGGATTGATGATGGGGATGATTGCCTCAATATTTTAGGAATTAGGGGCCAAAAAGGGGCAAAAAACAAGCATTTTTCTAGTTTCAGGACAATAACTTGTGTGTAAGTGTATGGATCTTTCTGAAATTGTACTACAAGGTTTCATATCACAAAGGGAAAGCTGGGTTTGAGTTTGGGGGTAATTGCTCTAAACGTTTAGGAATTTGGGGCCAAAAAGGGGCCAAAAATAAGCATTTTTCTAGTTTCCAGACAATAACTTATGTTCAAGTGTATGGATCTCTCTGAAATTGTACTGCAAGGTACCATATCACAAAGGGAAGGCTGGGATTGAGTTTGGGGGTGATGAATCATAAGGGGGTTCAAAAAATTGGGGGGGGGGGATTTTTTTGTTTTTCATTTTTTTTTTCTTTTAAAATTTTCCATTTTAAGTTGGTTATTTCTGATTTATATTTAAAAGCAAATAATAATGATATGGTAGGAGATACACACCAAACAGGATGTGTAAATTATTATATAATAAGTATTGTGCAATAGCAAGAAATTTTCAATTGCACAGTATTGCACAATAGCAAGAAATCTTCAATTGCACAGTATTGCGCAATAGCAAGAAATCTTCAATTGCACAGTATTGCGCAATAGCAAGAAATATCCAATAGCACAATATTGTGCAATAGCAAGAAATTGTCAATTGTACAGTATTGCGCAATAGCAAGAAATATTTAATTGCACAGTATTGTGCAAAAGAAGATACTTCGTATAAATTGCTTATTTCTTGACCAATTTCAATGGGGTTTTATTCTTGAATTCTTGGGGTTCTTTAATATGCTGAATCTAACCGTGTATTTAGTTTTTGGATTTTGGGCCCCGTTTTTAAATTGGTCCACATTAAGGTCCAAAGGGTCCAAAATTAAACTTTGTTTGATTTCATCAAAAATTGAATTATTGGGGTTCTTTGATATGCCGAATCTAACCGTGTATTTAGATTCTTAAGTTTTGGTTCCGTTTTCAAATTGGTCTACATTAAGGTCCAAAGGGTCCAAAATTAAACTTAGTTTGATTTTAACAAAAATTGAATTCTTAGGGTTCTTTGATATGCTGAATCTAAACATGTATTTAGATTTTTGATTATGGGCCCAGTTTTCAAGTTGGTCCAAATCGGGGTCCAAAATTAAACTTTGTTTGATTTCAACAAAAATTGAATATATGGGGTTCTTTGATATGCTGAATCTAACCATGTATTTAGATTTTTGATTTTTGGGCCCCGTTATCAACTTTGTCCACATTGAGGTCAAAAGGGTCCAAAATTAAACTTTGTTTGATTTCATCAAAAATTGAATTCTTGGGGTTCTTTGATATGCTGAATCTAACCATGTATTTAGATTTTGGATATTGGACCATAATAGGTGAATGTCCAATTTAAGATTTTTAAGTTCTTAGACCACATTCATTCTGTGTCAGAAACCTATGCTGTGTCAAATATTTAATCACAATCCAAATGCAAAGCTGTATCAAGCTTGAATGTTGTGTCCATACTTGCCCCAACTGTTCAGGGTTCGACCTCTGCGGTCGTATCAAGCTGCGCCCTGCGGAGCATTTTATTAATGTTTCTTTTGGTATCATCTGGTGCCTCTTTTTTCTCTCCATTTTTTTTCAAAATAATTTGTGATATGATAAAAAGTGAAGATAAAGGTATTACTATGAAGGATTTAATTATAATTTTCCAGAAATTTTAAGTTTTTTAGTGCTTTAAATAATGGAATTATCTCCTCTTTTCTCTAATTGGAAGTTCTTCCCCTTAATTGATGGGGTAGACAGAGAGGTGTCAGATTCCCATTTTCCTACCCCTCCTAATTCCCTCCCCTACTCCCAATTCCCTCCCCTACTCTGACTTCCCTCCCCTACTCCCAATTCCATCCCCCTACTACCACGTCCCTCTTCCCTACTCCCAGACGAAAATTGGTCAATTTTTTTTACCTAGAATATCCCTATTTTAACTCCCCCTTTCCCCTGGTTCCCACCCCCTGACTCCCACTTCCCACCCTCTCATTTTCCATGTTCCCTAACCTCTGTCTACCCTTTTAATTATTTTGTTATTCTCTGTAAGGTATTCATTTGCCTATTTTCTATGTGGAATAGAACTGGAAAGTATATACAATATATATAAATGCCAAAAAATGGAAACTTTAACACACTAATGAGTGTTATAAGAATAGTTGTTGTATTTTATAGATTCAAGCAATATTTCTCTAGAAAAACTTGTTTCATCATGCACATGCACCCAATCTAGGTGAAATCGGATGCTGATAAGAAAAATCTCTAATTGGAAGTTCCTCCCTTTAATTGAGGGGGTATACAGAGAGGTGTCAGATTCCCATTTTCCTACCCCTACTCCTAATTCCCTCCCCTACTCCCAATTTCCTCCCCCTACTCCGACTTCCCTCCCCTACTCCCAATTCCATCCCCCTACTCCCACTTCCCTCTTCCCTACTCCCAGACGAAAATTGGTCAATTTTTTTACCTAGAATATCCCTATTTTAACTCCCCCTTTCCCCTTTCCCCTGGTTCCCACCCCCACCCCCTGACTCCCACTTCCCACCCTCTCATTTTCCATGTTCCCTAACCTCTGTCTACCCCTTTTAATTATTTTTTTATTCTCTGTAAGGTATTCATTTGCCTATTTTCTATGTGGAATAGAACTGGAAAGTATATACAATATATATCAATGACTAAAAATGGAAACTTTAACAAACTAATGAGTGTTATAAGAATAGTTGTTGTAATTTATAGATTCAAGTAATATTTCTCTAGAAAAACTTGTTTCATCATGCACATGCACCCAATCTAGGTGAAATCGGATGCTGATAAGAAAAATATATATATATATTTTTCTTATCAGCATATATATATATAGGTATATATAATTTGTATATGATATACATTATATATTTTGTTAACCGATTTGATTCAAAGAAAACCATTCCAAATATTATTTTTATGAAAAAGTTTTATTTTTATTTTTGTGTGACTAAAACAATTATTTTTATACGACCGCAAAAATTAAAAATTTTTTGGTCGTATATTGGTATGACGTTGGCGTCGTCGTCTTCATCCGGCGTCGTCCGAAGACACATTGGTTTTCGCACTCTAACTTTAGTTAAAGTGAATGGATCTCCATGAAATTTTACCATAAGGTTATATACCACGAAAGGAAGGTTGGGATTGATTTTGGGGGTTATGGTACCAACAGTTAAGGAATTATGGGCCAAAAAGGGGCCAAAAATAAGCATTTTTGTAACTTCCAGACAATAACTTGTGTGTAAGTGAATGGATCTCTCTGACATTGTACCACAAGGTTCCATATCACAAAGGGAATGCTCGGATCGATTTTGGGGGTAATTGCCTCAAAATTTCAGGAATTAGGGGCCAAAAAAGGGGCAAAAAACAAGCATTTTTCTAGTTTCATGACAATAACTTGTGTGTAAGTGTTTGGATATTTCTGAAATTGTACTACAAGGTTCCATATCACAAAGGGAAAGCTGGAATTGAGTTTGGGGGTAATTGCCCGAAACGTTTAGGAATTGGGGGCCAAAAAGGGGCCAAAAATAAGCATTTTTCTAGTTTCCAGACAATAACTTGTGTTCAAGTGTATGGATGTCTCTGAAATTGTACTGCAAGGTACCATACCACAAAGGGAAGGCTGGGATTGAGTGTGGGGTGATGAATCATAAGGGGGTTCAAAAAATTTTGGGGGGGGGGGATTTTTTTTTTCTTCTTTTTTCTTTTTTTCCTTTTTTTTTTCTTTTAAAATTTTCCATTTTAAGTTGGTTATTTCTGATTTATATTTAAAAGCAAATAATAATGATATGGTAGGAGATACACACCAAACAGGATGTGTAAGTTATTATATAATAAGTATTGTGCAATAGCAAGAAATTTTCGATTGCACAGTATTGCACAATAGCAAGAAATATCCAATAGCACAATATTGCGCAATAGCAAGAAATTGTCAATTGTACAGTATTGCGCAATAGCAAGAAATATTCAATTGCACAGTATTGTGCAAAAGAAGATACTTCGTATAAATTGCTTATTTCTTGATCAATTTCAATGGGGTTTTATTCTTGAATTCTTGGGGTTCTTTAATATGCTGAATCTAACCGTGTATTAAGTTTTTGTATTTTGGGCCCCGTTTTTAAATTGGTCCACATTGAGGTCCAAAGGGTCCAAAATTTAACTTTGTTTGATTTCGTCAAAAATTGAATTATTGGGGTTCTTTGATATGCCGAATCTAGCCGTGTATTTACATTCTTAATTTTTGGTTCCGTTTTCAAATTGGTCTACATTAAGGTCCAAAGGGTCCAAAATTAAACTTAGTTTGATTTCAACAAAAATTGAATTTTTAGGGTTTTTTGATATGCTGAATCTAAACATGTATTTAGATTTTTGATTATGGGCCCAGTTTTCAAGTTGGTCCAAATCGGGGTCCAAAATTAAACTTTGTTTGATTTCAACAAAAATTGAATATATGGGGTTCTTTGATAGGCTGAATCTAACCATGTTTTTAGATTTTTGATTTTTGGACCCCGTTATCAACTTTGTCCACATTGAGGTCAAAAGGGTCCAAAATTAAACTTTGTTTGATTTCATCAAAAATTGAATTCTTGGGGTTCTTTGATATGCTGAATCTAACCATGTATTTAGATTTTGGATATTGGACCATAATAGATGAATGTCCAATTTAAAATTTTTAAGTTCTTAGACCACATTCATTCTGTGTCTGAAACCTATGATGTGTCAAATATTTAATCACAATCCAAATTCAGAGCTGTATCAAGCTTGAATGTTGTGTCCATACTTGCCCCTACTGTTCAGGGTTCAACCTCTGCGGTCGTATCAAGCTGCGCCCTGCGAAGCATTTTATTTAAATTTATATTATTGTTGTATTTTATTATTTTAACAGTAAACAAGCATGCATTCACTGTTGTTTGGGAAGGAGTGTATATTGAGGAAAGTTTTAAATTTTGGAATTATAATAGTGTTAAAATACACAAGTTATGCAATTTTAGCTAAAACAAACGGTTTATCCGTTTCTTTTTTTATAAGTAGCGATGGTAACATTTAAAGTAATACTATTTTCCACTTTTCTGATATAAATAGTTCATGTAAAATGTAAACTTGTTGAACCATTTGCTACATGCACTTTTGGACCAAAATAACTACTTAGTAAGATTGATTGACTGATTGATTGGTGTTTAACACCACTTTCAGCACTATTGTTTTATTTCATGGCAGTCAGTTTTTATTAGTGGAGGAAGCCATAGTGCCTGGAGAGAATCACGACCTTCGATAGGAAATCTGACAATCCTAGTCAATTAAGATAGGAGTGGAGGGCACCTGCCACATTCGGGATTAGAACTCACAACCTCAGTGTTGACAGTAGTTCGACTTCTTAGACCAACTTATGCAACCGAGGCCCCCTACTTTGTTAGAAAAGGCATATGTTTTAGCTAGATGTACAACCTCAAAAAATTATCTTCGGGCAAGTGTTAACTGTATTTAAAACTATCTTCAGGCAGGATGTATCTTTAACCATCTTACTATGGCTTAATTATTTTATCCTTTAAGTATATTGTTCATTTCAAATTTTATTTGTAAGGAAATTTAATGAATATATTTTGGATTAAATTTTATTATTTTAGGTCCAACTTTGATTTCATTACATATTTTGTTTCTATAGTAAAAGTTGTATTACTTAAGGTTACTTTAAACCAGAAAATGTTATGATGCAATGTTTTAAATAAAATTATGCAATAATGAAATGTTATTGGTTTTGTATTTATTAGAACTCTGAATTATGAATTCTGTTTGCATTTGTTTGAAGCTGTTCCTGAATTGCCATTTCATTATGAAGCATTTTGATATGAAATAGAGGAGTACAGTAATATAGTATACGTGGATGAGAAAGCATCCACACGATACACATACTGTGGATTCGTTATTTTTTGCAAGATACCAACTTTCCTGGATTTCGTGGGTATAGGTAAACCACGAATTCAAATGTTCAACGAATTACACATTTTATATAGATTTGTATGCAGACTTTGCAAAACCACGAAATTAAATATCCACGACAATACAAGTTTGCCCGGATCCATGAAAATTGGTATCCACGAAAACAAATGAATCAACAGTAACCACAATATATCTAAAGGTCAACATACAAGTCTTTAACAATAGATGTCTAAACAATATGTCAGCTCTAAATGAGTCAATTGTTTAAAAAGTTCCTTAATGAGTGCTTTCTGAATTTAGATGTAGTCATATCTTAATGTTTTTGTCATAAAGATCTTTGCAAACTTTTTTTCGATTTATTCTTATGTCCTCTATACCCAGGCCCATTTGCATCTTGGAACACTATAAGCACTTGTCTCTTGTTGACTATATTTTGTGTCATTTGCCTGGTTGCTGTCACATTGACATATACCCTTCATCTTGTTTTGTTCATATAGCGTAAGTTGTGCACCGCCTGGGTTGTCTTATGGTAGCGTGTTCACCACGTATTTGCAGCGCTTAGCATGCGTTTTGAAGGAGTAAGATCAAAGACTGGATGAATCGGAGTCAGAATAATGTGTCCTGGTAGGGTTAACTTGTCTTCCTGTGGACTGTTTTAACCTTGTGAGCTAGCATGTAAAAAATCTGGATCAGCATGTCAGTCTAGCACAAAGCCAGGGTTATTATTCATATTGCATTAACATGTTCTGGTCCTGAATCGGCATTGAATTTAACGCTGGACGGCCATCTATCATCATCATAGGTTGTGCACACGAACAAGGATTAATGTGTGTGCAATGACTGGCAAGCCGTTATTTTTGTCCCCTGCAAATGCGTTGCGGTGACAGGAATACCGGGCTTCCGTCCGTCCGGTCATGTTAGCGCTCTCACGTGTAGTTTTTGCCAGATTTTTATGAAACATATATCATATGTTTATTTCATCAATATCTTGGATGAGTTCGAAAATCAGTGACGATCAATTAATATTCGCCCGTCAAATTTTTGTATTATGTTATACAAATGTCCGGCGTCCGTCCGTCTGTCTGTCTGTCCGTCTGTCTGTCCGTCTGTCTGTCTGTCCGTCTGTCTGTCTGTCCGTCTGTCTGTCTGTCCGTCCGTCTGTCCGGCGTAAACATGTCGCACTGTAACTTGAGAATGACTTATCCACATTTATGAAACTTAACTTAGTTGTTTCTTATGATGGTCAAACGATCTGTATACTTTTTGGTGAAAATAAGATTAAAACTTTTTGAGTTACGGGACTTAGTAACTAAAACAGGTGTGTGTTTTTTTTCACATGTCGCGCCGTATCTCAAAAACAATTTATGATTATTGCTTAAAACTTTACACACTTCTTAGTTATATTAATCTTAAGATCTGTATACTTTTTGGTGATGATTCAAAATTTTATTTTAGAGATATTGAGTATTTTGTTAAAAAAGGGGGAGGGGTTTTTCACATGTCACGCCGTATCTCAAAAACAGTTTATGATTATTGCTTAAAACTTTACACACTTCTTAGTTATATTAACCTTAAGATCTGTATACTTTTTGGTTTTGATTCAAAATTTTATTTTTGAGATATTGATTTTTTTTTTTTAAAAGGGGGGTTTTCACATGTTGCGCCGTATCTCAAAAACGATTTATGATTATTGCTTAAAATTTTACACACTTCTTATTTATATTAATCTAAAGATCTGTATACTTTTTGGTTTTGATTCAAAATTATATTTTAGAGATATTGAGTTTTTGTTAAAAAAAAAGGGGGGTTTTCGCATGTCACGCCGTATGTCAGAAACTTTTTTTTGCTTATTGCATAAAAATTCACACACAAGACGACGGGCGTATCATGCGCTCATGGCGCAGCTGTTTATTTTTAAAAGAGTTATGCCCTTTGGAATCATTAATTATATGGAAAATTGCATCGTTAGCACTCTCGTGTACAATTCTTAACAGTTTTTTATGAAACTTATATCATAGGTTTATATTAGCAATGTCTTGGAGGAGTTCTAAAAACAGTGCTGATCAATTATTTTTAAAAGAGTTATGCCCCTTAGAAACATTAATTATATGGAAAATTGTATCGTTAGCGCTCTCATGTGTACAATTCTTAACAGTTTTTTATGAAACTTATATCATAGGTTTATATTAGCAATGTCTTGGAGGAGTTCGAAAAACAGTGCTGATCAATTATTTTTAAAAGAATTAAGCCCCTTAGAAACATTAATTATATGGAAAATTGTATCGTTAGCGCTCTCATGTGTACAATTCTTAACAGATTTTTATGAAACTTATATCATAGGTTATGTCAGCAATGTCTTGGACGAGTTCAAAAATCAGTGCAGATCAATTATTTTTAAAAGAGTTATACCCCTGGCAAACATTAATTATATGGAAAATTGCATTGTTAGCACTCTCATGTGTACAATTCTTGCCAGATTTTTATGAAATTTATATTATAGGTTTATATCATCAATGTTTTTAACGAGTTCGAAAGTCAGTGCCGACCAATTATTTTTATACGACCGCAAAAAAATTTTGCGGTCGTATATTGGTATGACGTCGGCGTCGGCGTCGTCGTCGTCCCGCGTCGTCGTCGTCGTCGTCGTCCGAAGACACATTGGTTTTCGCACTCTAACTTTAGTTTAAGTGAATGGATCTCTATGAAATTTTACCATAAGGTTCAATACCACAAAAGGAAGGTTGGGATTGATTTTGGGGGTTATTGTACCAACAGTTAAGGAATTAGGGGCCAAAAATAAGCATTTTTGTAACTTCCAGACATAACTTGTGTGTTAGTGTATGGATCTCTCTGACATTGTACCACAAGGTTCCATATCACATAGGGAATGCTGGGATTGATTTTGGGGGTAATTGCCTCCAAATTTTAGGAATTAGGGGCCAAAAAGGGGCAAAAAAAACAAGCATTTTTCTAGTTTCAGGACAATAACTTGTGTGTATGTGTATGGATCTTTATGAAATTGTACTACAAGGTTCCATATCACAAAGGGAAAGCTGTAATTGAGTTTGGGGGTAATTGCCCAAAACGTTTAGGAATAAGGGGCCAAAAAGGGGCCAAAAATAAGCATTTTTCTAGTTTCCAGACAATAACTTGTGTTCAAGTGTACGGATCTCTCTGAAATTGTACTGCAAGGTACCATACCACGATTGGAAGGCTGGGATTGATTTTGGGGATGATTGCCTCAAAATTTTAGGAATTACGGGCCAAAAAGGGGAAAAAAACCAAGCATTTTTCTAGTTTCAGGACAATAACTTGTGTGTAAGTGTATGGATCTTTATGAAATTGTACTACAAGGTCCCATATCACAAAGGGAAAGCTGGGTTTGAGTTTGGGGGTAATTGCCCTAAACGTTTAGGACTTTTGGGCCTAAAAGGGGCCAAAAATAAGCATTTTTCTAGTTTCCAGACAATAACTTGTGTTCAAGTGTATGGATGTCTCTGAAATTGTACTGCAAGGTACCATACCACAAAGGGAAGGCTGGGATTGAGTGTGGGGTGATGAATCATAAGGGGGTTCAAAAAATTTGGGGGGGGGGGGATTTTTTTTTTCTTCTTTTTTCTTTTTTTTCTTTTTTTTTTCTTTTAAAATTTTCCATTTTAAGTTGGTTATTTCTGATTTATATTTAAAAGCAAATAATAATGATATGGTAGGAGATACACACCAAACAGGATGTGTAAGTTATTATATAATAAGTATTGTGCAATAGCAAGAAATTTTCGATTGCACAGTATTGCACAATAGCAAGAAATATCCAATAGCACAATATTGCGCAATAGCAAGAAATTGTCAATTGTACAGTATTGCGCAATAGCAAGAAATATTCAATTGCACAGTATTGTGCAAAAGAAGATACTTCGTATAAATTGCTTATTTCTTGATCAATTTCAATGGGGTTTTATTCTTGAATTCTTGGGGTTCTTTAATATGCTGAATCTAACCGTGTATTAAGTTTTTGTATTTTGGGCCCCGTTTTTAAATTGGTCCACATTGAGGTCCAAAGGGTCCAAAATTTAACTTTGTTTGATTTCGTCAAAAATTGAATTATTGGGGTTCTTTGATATGCCGAATCTAGCCGTGTATTTACATTCTTAATTTTTGGTTCCGTTTTCAAATTGGTCTACATTAAGGTCCAAAGGGTCCAAAATTAAACTTAGTTTGATTTCAACAAAAATTGAATTTTTAGGGTTTTTTGATATGCTGAATCTAAACATGTATTTAGATTTTTGATTATGGGCCCAGTTTTCAAGTTGGTCCAAATCGGGGTCCAAAATTAAACTTTGTTTGATTTCAACAAAAATTGAATATATGGGGTTCTTTGATAGGCTGAATCTAACCATGTATTTAGATTTTTGATTTTTGGACCCCGTTATTAACTTTGTCCACATTGAGGTCAAAAGGGTCCAAAATTAAACTTTGTTTGATTTCATCAAAAATTGAATTCTTGGGGTTCTTTGATATGCTGAATCTAACCATGTATTTAGATTTTGGATATTGGACCATAATAGATGAATGTCCAATTTAAAATTTTTAAGTTCTTAGACCACATTCATTCTGTGTCTGAAACCTATGATGTGTCAAATATTTAATCACAATCCAAATTCAGAGCTGTATCAAGCTTGAATGTTGTGTCCATACTTGCCCCTACTGTTCAGGGTTCAACCTCTGCGGTCGTATCAAGCTGCGCCCTGCGGAGCATTTTATTTAAATTTATATTATTGTTGTATTTTATTATTTTAACAGTAAACAAGCATGCATTCACTGTTGTTTGGGAAGGAGTGTATATTGAGGAAAGTTTTAAATTTTGGAATTATAATAGTGTTAAAATACACAAGTTATGCAATTTTAGCTAAAACAAACGGTTTATCCGTTTCTTTTTTTATAAGTAGCGATGGTAACATTTAAAGTAATACTATTTTCCACTTTTCTGATATAAATAGTTCATGTAAAATGTAAACTTGTTGAACCATTTGCTACATGCACTTTTGGACCAAAATAACTACTTAGTAAGATTGATTGACTGATTGATTGGTGTTTAACACCACTTTCAGCACTATTGTTTTATTTCATGGCAGTCAGTTTTTATTAGTGGAGGAAGCCATAGTGCCTGGAGAGAATCACGACCTTCGATAGGAAATCTGACAATCCTAGTCAATTAAGATAGGAGTGGAGGGCACCTGCCACATTCGGGATTAGAACTCACAACCTCAGTGTTGACAGTAGTTCGACTTCTTAGACCAACTTATGCAACCGAGGCCCCCTACTTTGTTAGAAAAGGCATATGTTTTAGC